TTTCTGGGTAGGAAGGCGAAATTGGCTTCAAAGTTGGAGAATTTAAGGTTATCTCGTCGTGGGTATTTCGGAAAATATCGAAAGTCTTAGTCTTTGACGAATCTGTAGTTTGGTCAAGGATCGGAGATATAGAAAGGTTTAGTTTTTGTTCTACAGATTTGTATTGGAGATAGCTTTTGGTTTTCTACTTGATTAGGGGCTCTTTGTTGGCTACTACGATGAGCGGAAGCTTCACTGATGATGATGGCAAGCTTATTCTCTGCGTGGCGGAGAATGGCCATACATTTGAATTCAATTGTAACGATACGACTTCAGTTGAATCCGTGATGCGTTTCGTTGAATCTGTGTCCGGGATCATCTTCTCAGATCAGCTTCTTCTGTCTCTAGACATGAAACTCGAGCCTCAAAAGCTGCTTTCTTCCTTTGGGCTTCCTGCAAGTGATCGAGAAGTGTTTGTTTTCAACAAGGCTATGCTGCAAAGCAACTCTCATCCTCCATCACCTGAAGATTTAGATTTACAGGAAGTTGATGATGCTTTACCACCTGCTCCAGTTCACGAACATCATCCTTTAGACGATGCGTTGGATCCGGCTTTAAAGGCATTGCCTTTGTACGAGAGACAGTTTCGTTACCATTTCCATAAAGGCCGGAATGTCTATAATTGTACGGTTGTGAAGCTTGAGAACTGCGAGAGGTTGACGAGGGAGCAGAAGGTGCAGCAAAGGGCTGTTGAAGTTGCTACGAGGAATCTGGAGCAGTATTACAGGGTGATCTATCAGAACTTTCTCGAGTTTATGAAGCGTTATAAGCATCAGCACCGTCTCCACTCTGATCTGCTGATGAATTTTGGGAGGGATGTTGAGAAGTTGAGGTCGGTTAAGATTCACCCTTGTCTGCAAACTGATTCGAGGAAGTGCTTATTGGACTTTGTCAAGGAAGATAATCTGAAAAAGGCTGTGGAGAATTGTGCAAGCTCTCACAAGCAGTTTGAAAACAAGATTGCTCAGTTCCAGCAGATGTTTGTGGAGGTCAAGCGCAAGGTGGAGGAGTTGTTTGCTTGCAGGGATTCCTTAACGATGAAGAACTTAGAAGTGACTGTTAAGGACCACGAACGCTACATTGACGAGCAAAAGAGCATAATGCAATCTCTCAGGTTTGTTCTTTTCGTAAACATATTTTCATTTGTCTGTGTTGGGAATATGTCTGATGGTGTTGTATGATTCTTGAAACAGCAAAGATGTCAATACGGTTAAGAAGCTTGTGGATGATTGCATGTCTAGCCAATCGTCCTCATCTCTCAGACCTCATGATGCTGTTTCAGCCCTGGGTCCTATGTACGAAGTGCATGACAAGAATCACCTCCCCAAGATGCAGGCTTGTTATAACTCCATTTCAGAGTTGCTGGATTTCTGCAAAAGCAAGAAAAATGAGATGAACAACTTTGTACACAGTTACATGCAAAAGATAACGTACGTCACGTATATCATCAAAGACTCTAAGTTACAGTTTCCTGTTTTCAGAGAGGCAATGGTGCGTCAGGATGACTTATTTGCTGACCTGAAGTTAGTCCGTGGTGTTGGCCCCGCTTATAGGGCCTGCCTCGCTGAGGTTGTGAGGAGGAAATCCTCTATGAAGCTTTACATGGGCATGGCTGGGCAATTGGCAGAGAAACTTGCTATGAAGAGGGAAACAGAGGTCAGGAGACGTGAGGAATTTCTCAAAACACATGGTCCTTTTTTACCTCGTGATGTGCTGTCCTCAATGGGTTTATATGATACTCCCACACAGTGTGATGTCAATGTCTCTCCTTATGATACTAGTTTGATCAATATTGAAATGGCAGACGTTGATCGATATGCTCCTGAGTACCTTGTTGGGTTACATTCAAAGGTTGCATCGTCAAGGAGTTCACTGGGTATGTCTAGTGATAGCTCGCTTTCCGCTGAGGCTATTGAGATAAGTTTAGACACTTTAGACAAAGACAGCTTTGAAGATATCCTAGAGGCCTCTGAATTAGTGGAGATAGCAGGAACTAGCAAGATGGAAGTTGAGAACGCGAAACTAAAAGCTGACCTTGCTTCTGCAATCTCTCGGATATGTTCATTAGGCCCACAAGTTGAATATGAGGTGCTGGATGGAAGTGAAGTAGAAAATTTGTTGAAAAACGCCGCGGAGAAGACAGAAGAGGCACTGCATGCCAAAGATGAGTATGAGAAACATCTCCTATCTATGCTCAAGGAGAAACAAAGGCATTGTGATTCATATGAGAAACGTATCCGTGAACTGGAGCAACGTCTGAACGATGAGTATCTACAGGGAAAGAGATATGCTAATAGTACGGATGTGTCTGGCTTGAACCTTATGAACGAAAAAGTTAGTGAGTACAACAAAGCAGACGTGGAAGGCAACAAAGCTCATGTATCTGGTTCGGAGCCCATGGATGAGGTCTCATGTGTTTCAAATCTTTCTAGCAAGCAGCCAGGTAAAGCTCGGGAAGGTATGGATGAGAATATGGTGGATTCCTCTCAGGTGCTCGGTCATCCGCTTGATTCATCGATGCTGGAAAGCCAGCAAAACAATGAGAAAGGTGGAAAGGGTAATGTGGTGGGGGAAATGGGTGTGTTTCTAAGTGACAGTTCGACAGCCGAGAGTCCAACAAAATCTTTGGGTAATAATGTGGTAACTGGCATAGGTTTAGATACCAAACACAGTGATGATATTATCTTGGAACTTAAAAATGAGCTGATGGAGAAGTCCAATAAACTGACTGAAATAGAGTCCAAGCTTAATCGTGCTATGGAAGAGGTAACCAGCCTGAGCAGAGAGTTGGAAATGAATCAGAAAATTCTTGAAGAATCCCAGGTTTTGCAGCTATTTCATCATTTTTATTTATTTATTTTCTGCAATCTTCTAGCGCTGATATTTATTAATCGCATTGTGAGATTAGGAGCTAGTCTTTACTTTTTGGTAATCTTTCACGATTTTCTGTCACTTGCTGGTATTTTCTGTCATACTTGAGTATTGAAGGTTCTAGGATCAGGTCTAGTTTCTGTGATCTTTTAAGGGTAATGACCATTAGGAAGATTCAATACACTTTTGTGTAATGACTAAATTAGTTGAAGCCAACCAGTTTAAATTGTAGGAGTTCTTCGTTTCTCTTAGCTAGTTACTAATACAATCTGCGAAAGGACTGTGAGCAGTTTCTGATGTTTGTGATTTGGCAGACATTTCATCTAGAAAGATATAGAGACAGAATAAGCATGGTTCTACTATTTTAGAGTCACCAGATAATTTATGTACTTGCCTTGCCCATTATATACTCTAAATGTTATCTTCTGATGTGGTAAGTATCACGGTCTTGGTTGTAGATGAATTGTGCGCATTTGGAGAACTGCTTACATGAAGCAAGAGAAGAAGCGCAGACCCATCTTTGTGCTGCTGATCGTAGAGCTTCTGAGTACAGTGCACTTCGTGCATCAGCTGTGAAGTTGCGAGGTCTCTTTGAAAGATTCAGGAGCTCTGTGTGTGCTGGTGGTGGGGTTGCTGGTTTTGCTGACTCCTTACGTACTTTGGCTCAAGCTTTAGACAAGTAAGTTCCTATCTGTAATTTCTTCCAGAATTATAACCTTAGCATTTTTCCTCTCTTGTTTCACTTTCAAAGCTCTGGTTTCTCATGTTTTCTTTGGATTTGCATCTCTCCTACTTGGGGATTTCACAGCTCCATTAATGACAATGAGGATGATGGCAATGTTGAGTTCCGGAAGTGCATCCGAGTTCTTGCAGACAAAGTCAGCTTCCTCTCCCAAAACCGAGAGGAATTATTTGAGAAGTGCAGAACTCTTGAAGCTACAAGTGAACAGACAATAAAGGACTTGAAGGAAAAGAAAGAGCTGGTGAAAACATTGTACACCAAGCACCAACTTGGGAAGCAGGTAGAATATTCGTTTGTTGTTTCATTGTAGGGATGCATCTTAAACTTATTTTGAATTTTGTGGACAGGCGAACAAGGAAAAGATATCATTTGGTCGTCTTGAAGTCCATGAGATAGCAGCATTTGTGCTAAATCAAGCAGGGCATTACGAGGCAATCAACAGGAACTGCCCAAACTACTACTTGTCCTCTGAATCCGAGGCATTGTTCACAGATCACCTCCCAAACCGGCCTACATACATCGTTGGACAGATTGTCCACATCGAGCGCCAAGCAGTGAAGCAGACACCGACACTTTCAGCTTCTGCATCTCCTGAGGCTGGTAAGAGAGATTATCTTGGGTCAGGGCAGGGGTCAAGAAATCTGGCAGCAAGTTCAATGTCGACATCATCTTCAGGAGCAACAACAACAAATCCTTATGGTCTATCTTCAGGATGTGAATACTTCATAGTGACAATAGCAATGCTTCCTGACACTGCTATTCATCAACAAGCTTCCTGATCCTTTTGCTTGTTCTCACGGCAGATAGATATGATGGAAGAAACCCCTCTCCCCAAGAAAGAAACAAAAATGTAAATAGTTAAATAACCATCAATAACCAGACACCCCTCGTTTGATTTGTGGATGTTGGGTTTCATTTGTCTCTTTCTAAAAGTATTTTATTTCATATGTTCCTTCTTTCTGTACAGCTGATGATCACTGATCTTAGTTTAATCTTCTATCCTTGTACATAATCTGCTTTGCTTTATTGAAATGTTGTAATAAGAGAACAATATAAATATATAAAAAATGATATAAGTTTAGGATAAATAATCGATTTCCTCCACCTCTTGGCTCTTGAGACATTGTTTTTATAATTAGTATGAGCTATACAAATTCCTTATTATAATTAGTATGAGCTCACAAATTCATTATCAAAACGTCTTTCTTCAAATCCCTGTAGGGGTTTGTTTAGTTACCAAGAGATAAATTTGATTTACAAGAAAGAAAAAAAAAACACCAAAGCTACTAGTTCAAGTCTCCTATACTTGCCAAATCGTGAAAAGAAAGGCGGAGTCTATAAAAATTATCTATTTACCATCTTCTTCTGAAATGTTGAACAAGAACTTTGGCAAGGATGTGATTCGGGGAAGCTGTGAGAACAAATCGCTGTACGAGTCTTTCCTTAACATACCCTGTGGTTTGCTGCTGGAAGCTGGATCAAGAACTCTGTTGTTGTTGTTGGCAGACACTGTCCCATTCAGATGATTGAGTTCAGACTTCAATCCAACTGAGACCTCAGTATTGAGCTGTGAGTTTGCAGCGACGTTGGGATCCTTGTACAGGAGGTTGAATAAAGAATTAACCCTTGGCATGAGAGACTTCTCATCTGGTGTATCGAACTGGATATTATCACTTAGCAGCTGCTGTTTCAAGCTCTCAAATTTCTCCAGATGTTCCGGATGATTACCACCAGCAGAATCAGAGAGAAATCCAACGAAATCGCTCACCGATATAGATTGTTGTAGTCCAGGTACTTTTATCTGACTCGAATCAGTTGATAATAATGCAACGAAATCACTCACTGACATAGATGGTTGTAATCCAGCTGCATCTTCAACCTGATTCGTTGTGTTGTCTGAATCACAAAGAACTGCAAGGAAATCGCTCAGTGACATAGATTGGCGTAGTCCGGGAGCTCCGACCTGACCACAATCTGTTGTGTTTCTTGAGTTGACCGCTTCAACACCTCCAATTCCTTCATTTCCGCGAGCATCTATCACTATAGATGAATGAAGCAAAGAAGGAGAAAAAGATAGCACACAATCAAAATTTGACTCGGTAGAAGTAAAAAAGGAAGAACACTCACAAAATAAAGAGCCATGAAAATACCTGAGCTGGGGGATGGTGCTTCATGAGACAGATACATATGTTCAGAAGATGACTGCGCCCCAACGGGAGATGCTAAATTCTGAGCCCCAGATATTGAAGGACCTGTGCTAAGATTCATATTCCCATAAGGATATCCCTTTGGTTCACTTGGATCCTCAAAGATAGATGGCCGTGCATCAAAGTAGGGAGAGTCCATTTTTATCTCTGGCTCACGGCTAAGATGGTACAGGCGATGATCACACTGAACAAGCTTTTCGAAATGTTTGTTCATTATCCCTTGAGCACATTGCAGAAAATGCTGCCTAACAGATCACAGAGAGAGACTATCGTCAGCTCAAGCTATATCATAAACATAATTCAGTTACATGAATCCTTTCCTCCTACAAGAGCAGAGGACACAAGAAATATTTGTACCTGTACATGCTGGCTTGGCCATCAGTAAAATCCGATGTTGCTTGCCACAAAGTATGTTTCCTAGGCTGTGGGTTTGTTTCCCGGAAAAACAAAGGCTGCCTAGCAAGCTGAAACAAAAAAAAAAAAATACTGAAGATAAAGAGTTGAACAAGAGCATATGATTCGTCGCCAATGAAAAGAGTTTGAGTGAATCTTGTACCACGAGAGTCAATGTCCCAGGTCCATCCTCAGGACAGTTTGCCTTTAAATCCCAAATATCCGACCACTGAATCTCAATTTTGCTCTTAAGACCTTGTTCCAACACTTCCCAAACAAGTTTATGTTTTGCAAAGTAACACTTCGCCACCAAATCACCTTCATACCTTGATTTGTACTATAAAACAAAACAAAAAAACAGAACCCTGTCAAGTTAGATCATTGAAAGCACCATGAAACATATATCAAACCATTTCTCAGGGCTCTCACCTCCCAGTTCCCAATCTTTAAAACAGTGGCGGGAAAGTTGGAAGCTTTAAGCTTCTCAATACTCCCAGGCGCTAACGTCCCTCCAGCTGATGCAGCAGCAGCAGCAGTGATGCATTTACTTTCTTTCTTAACACCAGAGCCACCACCAACTGCATCGGCGGCTTTCTGCGTAAGCCTCATCTGAATCAAATCCAACAAGGAAGGACTCTTCCTAAGGCTTAATCCAAGAGGACTCGGTTCATCAAGCGGGTTATACTTTGCCGGCGTTGCCATTGACGACGAGCTAGTCTCAGAGCTCCATAACTACAAAAGAGAGAGATATGAGCTAATCGAAAAAACAGAGACTTTTCAATCGAATTACAGATTATGAGCTAATTAGGGAAATTAAGAGGGATAACAAACCCTAGATCGCTTGCTGAGAGGACCATGCGCTTCTTCTAAATCATCCTCTGCGATCTCCATCTTCACCGGAAGCTCGTCACGGCACTTCGACGCCGATTCGGAATCAGGTCTCATAACTCCAGATTTCCTCATTTCCACCATCAAAAACAACGAAAACCCTTTCTTCCTTATTGAATCACAGATTCAGAGAAACCAATTCGATAGCGAAATCACGAATAGAAAGGAAAAAGTTTGGATCTTTTTTTTTTTTTGAAACAGAGGATTATCCAGAACGCGAAGAGAATCAATCAGCAAACCCTAGAAATCAGATCTCTCTCTCTATTTGATTGAAAAGGAGGATTCTTTTGGCGGCTAGCGACGCGAGTATCTCGTGTTATATGCCACGCGCTGTCGTTATTTGACTATGTGGTGGCTGAAATGACGAATTTAGCCACCGGTTTGTGCGTGTGAAAGGAGGGTTGATATAGTCATTTATTAATTTTAGTAAATGTTAAAATTAATTCGCTGGCGGACAGCCAGTAGTTCTTGGTATATTGGGTGGGTCCCGTGTTTGCTTATTCTTGTGACGGCTATAGATAGAGAATTAGCCACGTGTTTACTCGTCTTCACTGCCTAATTTGTTAGCTTTCTATGTAGTCAGCAGTCAACAATGTTGTCATAAGCACACTTAAGGTAGTCATGACTAAGTTAAATACAATCTTATCTTTAATCATTTACCAATGAAATCAAAAGTTGAACAAGATGTAAGGTGCATTGAACAAAACTATTAGTTCTGACTTTGAATTCCCATTCTAATTATGGTTGAGACTAGAATAAGGCTTCACAAGATTTGATTTCTCATTCTAATTATTGTTTCACTCGGATTTTAAACATAAATTTAGAAAGTTTTTAACTGCAAGAGTTCTGGTCTCTGCCACCTCCCATGTTTAATATATAAAAGCAAATCTCCAGAATTAGAGTAATCTATTTTATATTTTGATAATAAATATACTAAAATGAGATTCTAAGTATAATTATATCTACAAAGCCGTTTAATAACATGTGTAAGTGGAGCCGTCGAGTCTCAAATATAAAAATAAGAAAAATATAAGAAAAAATTAAGAAATTTTTTTAAAATGTATAGATATATTATAACAAAAACTTTAACATTTTAAATATATTGCTAGATTAGAAATTAATAATTTCAAAAGAACATCAAATATAGTTATTAACTTTTACTATATCTTTTTATCAAATCGTTAAATATACCATTAATGAACATGGATTAGAAATCATTTAATCATATCGAATATATTCAAAAACTCTTCTCTTTATATACGCTCGTTCCTGCCTTGTGTGAAGCTCCCCCTATTCTGGAGAAAAAGGATATATATATATATATATATATATAAGATACATTGCACGTATACAAGTACATATAATCTCTCTAATTAACTAAGATTGCAACAATCTTGAAATGAATTTGATCCAACGTATTCAATGTTATAAGTCCTTTATCCACGGACGTCCCTCTCCTATGAAATAAGGCAAATGGACAAAACGAAATGAAAAAAAAAAAGACTAATGGCTATTCTTGTCAAATTATAAGTCGCACACAAACAAAACAAAACAAAACAGAAATTTCCTCTTTGTTTTCTTTCTCCTCGACGCTCTTTTCTTTTTGCATCTTTATTCTTGTTTCAAACTAATATTCATCAACCTATCAACCTCATTTGGAAAAAAAGTTTTGAAAGAAGAAGAAGAAAAAGAAAGAGCAAGTTTGTAAATGGAGGATGATATATATAGTAACCCTTAAGCGTTTCCTGATCCTTCTTCGTATTAATCTTTGAGATCAACCTTTCCTTACAAGAACAATGCCTGTGCCAGATCCACGGGCGGGGCAAGCATTCATCTGTCTTATTACATTATTTCTTTTCTTGTCGATTGCTGTCGGAGGAGGTTGTTTAATTGCATACACAGTCCTTCCATACCCACCAATCTGGCTAGCCTACCTAGGCATTTTCTTTGTTTGTCTCCCTTGGTTCTTTTGGATCCTAACATTTTCATACCGTATTGTTTCACGCTCTTTTGGATTTAGGATGGTCATTGGATCCGGTGGTAACAATAACAATCCCAATGGTGAGGCCAAGCCACGCGATCTTGACCCTCCCGAGCAATCTTTAGAGTCTCCTGATGGTGATCCAGAGGCGATGGTTCGTCCACAAGGTCAAATTCTTATGTCGATGGAAGGGAACCAATCTAAGAAACGGATGTCAACCTCCAGCGTTGGTTCACATGAAAGTGAGATGCCACTAGCCAATTCTATGGGTTCATGATGATCATATACGCTTTGATATAGAATGAGATCTTGACATTGATAGCATCAGGACGGAGATGCTTAGCCTGTTGAAAACATGGATATGTTTTTGCTGTTTTTACTTTGTATCTTATACAGATAGATTTGTAGATTCAACAAAAGAAGAAGATGAAGTATTACACGTTTTATCACCATGAAAGTTTTTCCTCAAAACCAAACCCCAACAAAATTGAGGTGGTTTTCCAGTTTATGTCTATAAATCAAGAGAGAAATGTATGTTACGAAGGGGTATATATAGTCTGGTCTGTTTTTCACCTGGTACATGTGCAATGCGTATTTTTTTTAGGGTAGATAAACATTCCAGATTCATTAAATTCATGTAATTTTGTATATAACTTGGCGATATAGCTCTGCAATTAAGCCTTCCATTCTAGGGCTAACATTTGGAAGTTCGTTAACTTGACACACAAGCCAAGTTATTGGACTGTTAAGTCAGGCCTGGCCCAGTCTAAATTGGTGCCTAAAGCAAAAACAGATTTTGGCGCCCTCTGATGTTCGAACCGAGCACCAGAAGCTCAGTTAATAAGCACACAACCACTAGGATACATAAACGTTTTGGTAGTTTTAATGCCCATAAGTATATATCATAATTTGGCGCCTAAAGCTGGTGCTTCCCCAGCTTTAGGTCAGGGCCGGCCCTGTGTTAAGTACCAAATGCTGGCATCTGCAAATGGGTCACTTTATGATCATATGATCCAAAGACATTTGTAGTTTAAGTTCAGACAAAGTGTACAAGTCATGGGAGAAGATTTTGTTTGTTACAATTAATTTATGTTAGATTCTGATAGCATTTTCCTCAGGGAAACATCTTTTAGCCAAGCTAATCTTGACAATATGCGATTGGTTCATTTCAGAAATCTGGATTAGTATAATCCGGAAACAACATCTTACAACTTGGTGTTTGAGATACCCAATGTAGCAAAAATTGTTCCAAAATTTTAAGAATTAGCTCTACATACATAGAACACTTAATTACCATTTTTTCACTTTGTCATACGGGACATTAGTTGAACTAGTTATAACATGACAAGATTTTAGCATCAACCATTTTTATGATCTTTCAAACGTGGATCGTATCCATCATCCATGCTGAATACTGAACAACGCTAAAAACTATGGCATCATACTTGCTATATATATTTAGGAGTTTGTTTTCAGTCTATTGTTCTTCAAGTTTTCATATTTTAAGAGGAAATGGTAGAAGAAATAAAATAAAATATATTTTTTGTTTGAGAAAACAACTAAGCGACAAGCTTTAGACAAGCGAAAAAAACATATTAAAGACATGTCACTTACAATGACTCTAGTCTCTAGCGTGGTCAATATAATTGTACTAAGCACGTGAATATCCCATCATTTGGCTCTTGCTTGTTAATTAATCACACCAAGAAACAACTCTTTATATGTCATTTCTGAATATACTAGTGGTAGCTTTATAACAGTAATTACTAATGATTATAGTATATTTACATTCATCAAAATCATTGTTAGCTAGTACTCTCATACTCACACCTCAGTAAACAAAATGGCTAAATAGGTGAGAATCAATAACTTATGTTTATATATGTGAGACGTTAATCTTAAGATTTCTGGAGAAGATGAAGCCGCGAACGGACCACGGACGACTTGACGAGTAAGAGACGTGTGCTAGGTTCAATGATTCTAAATAATTTGGCAGTATCTACATGTGTAGCCAACACAAATGAAAGAAAATGACATCTACACAATATTAATATTCGAAACTAATAGAACTCCAAATGGAAGTAAAGTGGGAGCAAGACACCACACGGCAAGGGACACACAAATGAAAGAGAGACAAAGGTCTATAGAAAGCTTAAGATCATATGATATGTCCGAATCATCTCATGTGCAAACTTCTTTTATAAAAATAAAATCAAAATGAATTTGTCGATTATTATTATTATTCTAAAAATGGATTGTTTTATAGGAATTAATGTTCCAAAGTCCAAACTTCATCATACTAATTACGGATTTTCTAGTCATCAGAGACTACTAAACTTGACCAAAATAGTGAAGTTTATCGATAAGAAATAAACATATTGAGATATTGTTTTTCTAACTATTTTATGGAGGCATGCTTAGAAAGAAAGAAACCGTGTAGACGATTTTGAGAGCAATCAACATACCATACCCCTTTAAGAGAATAAACAACGCAATTAGCGACTAGGATCTTGATGTGTCAAATATATAACATACAGTCCATATGATTTCAGATTCTTAATATGTTTAATATGAAATAAAAGTACATATATAAATATCTTTGTAAATACAGTATATAAATATATGTAGAGAGAGTAAGAAAATTAGAAAAGAAAGGTAGTTGGGGGCTAACTAGTAGCCATCGTAAGTGTTTGGTAAATATAATTTTCTGAAGTAGAAGAAGAGATAACTTTTTAAAGAAATCATATAATATATAAGAGACCAAACACTTATCATGAGTAACCATCATAGTTCCCATTTCTGCAAGAAATATTTATTGTTATATTTACAAATTTTTAAAATTCCTTGACGAAGAGCTTTTCCTCGTAGCCCTTATGATTATTGTTAAGGTTAGGTGTGAAAAGTAACCGAATGTAAATTAAGCTTTCGGCGAAAATGTTCTTGTATACAAACCAAAAAGTATTAGGGAAAATAAGAGAAATATTCATCAATTTGATAAACTTTATCACCTTTGATCTCCATTGTCTCCTCTCTTTTATCTCCATAGGAATTAATCTCCACCACAACAGTTAAGTACCAAACAAAAAAAGAGATACAAACTAAAGATCACTATTATGATATGTTTGAAGTGTTTTGGGAACGTATGCGTGACACAATTAGGGAGGTGCGGGCAACCTATCAGACGTTGACAATCACCTAAATGTAAAGCTAGCTCGTCTCTGGGTGCTTGTTTGATTTATATGATAATATTGTATCTCATATAGTTACATCCAAAAAAAGAAAAATTACATAACCATATCTACCTGTAATTAATAAAGACACTGAAGTTGTTTAAAACAGTTTTTAATCTTGCTTCAGAGTGGTCAAATACTGCTGAACTGAAAAAGAACAAATTATTACAAAACATAGGTTATAAGGATAAAAATATGGAATTGATAATGATTACAGTTATATTAATTAAATAAATGAATTGGTCTGCTCGTATTCTTGGTTAGTGACCTCTACGAGCAAATAAAGAGAAGAAAGACTCTTTAATTAGGTGGCGCGAAAACAACGCCCCTTCTCTCTCTCTCTCTCTTTAATCCTTTTATCTCTCTCTCTCTCTCTTTCTCTCTGATCCTTCAATATCGTTCCGATCAATTCATCTACCTCTGGCGTTTCTTTTCCCTTTTTTTTTTTTCACGAGCATTCCTCATCATCGCCGGCGGCAATTGACATCTACCGTCGATTTAACTCCGATCGCGTTTGTGTTCCCATTACGATATCAAAAGCCATTGAAGATCTCGCGAGGAGAATCACGGGATTGCTTCAAAGGGCACATCTTTCCTGGTAAGATATTTTATATTTTCCGATTCATTAAGGTTAAGCTTCGCATTTGGTGTATCAATTCCCAATTTTGACTCTACCCAGAATCGAAAGAACCCTAAAAAAGTAGAATCTGGTTATATTGAATTCCCGAATTTTCATTACTTGCGATCTGAAATTTCATTAGTTTGGCAAAAGAATGTTTTTTTGGTGGTTTGATTAGCAAAAAATGCTTTATTTGTAAGAAAATTACTAAATTTGTTTCGATTAGTGACGAGTCTGTGTCATGAGAGACACAAGTCGGTCAGTAAACAGACAAATCTCCTTTTTTTTTCTTTTTTTTTTTTGGATTCTTCGTCTTTAAACAGTGAACATTATTTTGTTTCCTAGTTCGAAAATTGTGTTGTTTCTATTGTGAGTTTACTTCACTTTCTCAAAATGGCCAAAGTTTTCAAACACCAGGAATCATCACTCTTCCTGCACTTTCATCATTGTTTGATGCATGATATCTTCCACAAACGGGTGAAACACCATAATCTGTTTATGTCCTTATGTGTTTTAGCTGTTAAATAAGTTTCTTATTAAAACTCTCAACCTGCTAGTTTCAGTAAGTTTCTTTTGTTATATTTGTTCTGTTTGTGATTTTGGTGTAAAGAAGAAGAAGAAGATTGGTCCCCTTAACTTTCCAGCTAGTCTGATAATGTCACTTCTGTGATAAGGACACTGCACTTCTTCAGAAAATCTTCCATTAAAAAATATTATTTTCCTGATATTGTTAAACTGCAACTAACTAGTTAGAACTCAACCCACTTTTCTCTCTTGTTTACTCTACTTATAAAAAACATATATAATTTGCCTTGTTTATCTGCGAGGTATCTTACCTTTTTCTCCTGGGTTTTGACTTTCTTGCAGAGTAAAAAAGAGTTTCTTTACATCCCTGAAGGTGTTACTATTATTCTGCTAGAATGCAGAAAGAAACTAGAGGCTTAAGCTTCTGAATCCAATCAATGCAAGTTTGTTTCATTAAAGCTTGAATGGATGTAGCAACAGATACTACAAGACGGCGACTTGTTCCATCAGATAAGAGCAATGCAGCCGCTCCCACTCGCCGTCCTCGAACATCAACGGAGGTCAGTTCAAGATACAGATCACCGACACCAACCAGAACCGGGAGATGCCCTTCCCCAAGCCTCACTAGGCCTACTGTTTCTTCCAGCTCTCAATCCGTGGCTGCCAAAAGAGCAGTTTCGGCTGAGAGGAAGCGTCCTTCAACACCTCCATCTCCTACTAGTCCATTCACGCCTATACGTGACGTGTCTATAGACTTACCGGCTTCATCTAGGAGGTTGTCTACAGGTCGTTTGCCTGAAAGCTTATGGCCTTCTACTATGAGAAGCCTCAGCGCTTCATTTCAGTCGGATTCTGTCTCAGTCCCTGTTGGTAAGAAGGAGAGACCGGTTAGTAGTTCTTCATCTGACCGAACGTTGAGACCTTCTTCAAATATAGCTCAAAAGCAGAAGGCTGAAACGGTCTCTGTGTCAAGGAAACCTACGCCAGAGAGGAAAGTAAGTCCATTGAAAGGGAAGAATAATAATGCATCTGATCTTTCAGAGAATTCGAAACCTGTTGATGGTCCTCATAGTCGGTTAATAGAACAGCATCGATGGCCTAGTAGAATCGGTGGAAAGATCAATTCCAACTCACTAAACAGAAGTTTGGATCTTGGAGACAAGGCTTCAAGGGGTCTGTCTACTTCAGGACCTGTAATGAGACCGTCTTCAAGGAGAATGTCATTACCTTTGTCCAACGGTTCGAAACCTTTGCATAAAACTTCTACAAACACATCTTGTAATGGTGATTTATTGTCTCCAACGAAGTCGGAAGATAATAACATAGCTCGAAGTTCAGGAGCTCAGAGACTTTTGTCTGCAGGTTCGCTAGATAGAGCGTCCTTAGCAACGGCTGTAGCTAAGCTGCATCCATTGTCTGCTCCTGGATCTCGCCCTGCTTCACCGAGTAGAACTTCTTTCTCATCTTCATCGTCTATATCCCGAGGAATGAGTACTTCGAGAGGAGTGAGTCCATCAAGAGGATTGAGTCCTGCAAGAGGGTTGAGTCCTGCAAGGGGGTTGAGTCCTGCAAGAGGTGTAAGTCCTTCAAGAGGATTAAGTCCTTCACGTGTCACAAGTTCTTCCTCTTTTGCGAGACCATCAACTCCACCTTCAAGAGGGGTAAGTCCTTCCCGGATAAGACAAACCAGCGATTCTACACAATCCAGTACTGCAAGTTCGGTTCTCAGCTTCATCACGGATGTCAAGAAAGGCAAAAAAGCAAACTACATCGAAGACGTTCATCAACTGCGTCTGCTCCATAATAGGTATTTACAGTGGCGGTTTGTAATTGCGCGAGCTGAAGCTGCAATGTACATTCAACGTTTAACTTCCGAGGTAGATAATACTTGTAGTCTCTATAACAACATGAACGGTTCATGGTTCTCCAGATTGATATCTGAAAATTCAAGTTTTGATATATTAGGAAACACTATTTAATGTGTGGCAAGCGATATCAGAACTTCAGGATGATGTGACTAGCCAAAGGATTGGAGTGCAACAGCTAAAGCTAGAGATCAAACTAAACTCACTATTGAACGATCAGGTAGGTTTCTCTCTCTGTTGCATAGTGACTTTACATGCATCAGATAATGCCATGCTGATGCATAAATATATGTGCACAGATGGTGAGCCTTGAAGAATGGGCCACACTTGAAAGAGACCATGTTAGTTCTTTAGTTGGAGCCATAGCAGATTTAGAAGCAAATACTCTCCGCCTTCCAGCCACTGGAGGAACAAAGGTATGTATCATTACTATTGCGAATACTCATGGTGATGGAAATTAAGAAAGATCAAGAATATAGTTTATCATTTTAGAACTTCTTTTTTTACAGGCGGACGTTGAATCTTTGAAAGCAGCTATGTCCTCGGCCCTCGATGTAATGCAGGCTATGGGATCGTCCATTTGGTCTTTACTCTCAAAGGTGAGACCTCTATAGTTCTCCAAATTTTTCCCTCTCGACATAACTCTCAGCATTGCTCTCTATGATTGTATTTTGCAGGTGGAGGAAATGAATAAAATGGTCTCAGAACTCGCTGTTGTAGTTGGAAAAGAGAGTTCTATGCAAGGAAAATGCGAAGATCTTCTGGCCTCAACTGCGATCATGCAGGTAACAAAAACACTCCAGTAGTTTAGCGTAGAATGCTATTTTTTTAAAAAAGTGAACTGAAACCGAGTTTTGGTGGCATGGAACAGATAAAAGAGTGTAGCCTGATGACTCATCTGATACAAACTAGCAGAGAAGTAGAAGAAGATGCAGCGGAGGAGACTCCTCCATTGATGCCACAAAGCAAGTTCCCATGGCCATAAATAACACACTTACAGTTCCACACGCTCAACGCTGATGACTAATCACCTGTAAATTGCTCTTTGGTTCCCCCACCACGTTTCTTTGTTTGTTAGAAGTCTTTTGTTTTTTTTTTTTGGTATGAAACATTAGCATAGGGAAAGAAGCAAATCAAAGATCGATGGTTCGAATATTAGGAAGAGGAAAAAAGTAATTTAATTGTTTAACATGTAAACTCTAATGTAAGGTTTCCCTGAGGCGTTCTATTTATATATAAGAGTCGATTAGTTTAGTGATTCATAACAAAAAACTAACTGAAGAATTGTTCATAAATAAAAATCTAACTTCAGCGATGCAAAATGATTAAATAAATAACGGCAGGAACACAACATCCCTCAAAACATCAAATGTTACTTCGGACAGTAACAGCCGCCACGGCCGAGACAACCATCTCACTGATAAACAACAAGAACACCTTCTTCGATCTCTTCAAAACATCAACTTCCATCTCTCACCTTACCCAAACCCACACTCAGATCATCCTCAATGGCTTCCAAAACGACATCCAATTACTCACAAAACTCACCCAACGACTCTCCGACCTCGGCGCCATTCACCACGCTCGCAACCTCGTCCTCTCCTTTCCAAAACCTGACGTCTTCCTCTTCAACGTCCTCATGCTCGGCTTCTCCAAAAACGGATCACCTCACTCTTCGCTCTCTCTATTCACTCACTTAAGGAAACACACTGATCTCAAACCCAATAGCTCCACTTACACCTACGCTATCTCCGCCGCATCGGGGTCTCGTGACGAGAGAGCTGGCCGTGTTGTTCATGGACAAGCGGTTGTTGATGGGTTTGACTCGGAATTACACGTTGGCTCGAATATCGTTAAGATGTACTTCAAGTTTTCGCGGGTGGATGATGCGCGGAAGGTGTTCGATAGAATGTCTGAGAGAGATGTGGTTTTGTGGAATACTATGCTTTGTGGATACAGAGAGAATGAGATGTATGAGGAGTCTGTTAAGGTTTTCAGGGATTTGATTAACAAGAGCTGTACACGATGGGACGCAACGACTGTGTTGAATATACTCCCCGCTGTTGCGGAGTTGCAGGAGCTGAGGCTTGGGATGTTAATCCATAGTCTTGCGATTAAGACAGGGTGCTATTCTCATGATTTTGTTCTTACGGGTTTCATCTCGTTGTACTCGAAATGTGGAAAGGTTGAAGCTTTGGATACTCTGTTTCGGGAGTTTTGTACACCGGATGTAGTAGCTTACAATGCAATGATTCACGGGTACAGTTCAAATGGCGAGACTGAGCTATCTTTAAGACTGTTTAAAGAGATGGTTTTATCGGGAGAAAGGTTGAACTCAAGTACGTTGGTGAGTTTGATCCCTGTCTCTGGTCATCTTATGCTTGTATATGCCATTCATGGTTACAGCTTGAAATCAGGTTTCTTGTCTCATGAGTCTGTTCCTACCGCATTAACCACGGTTTACAGTAAACTGAACGAGATGGAATCGGCTAGAAAGGTTTTTGATGAGTGTACGAACAAAAGCTTGGCGTCTTGGAACGCAATGATCTCTGGTTTCACTCAAAACGGGGTGACAGAGGATGCGATATCTCTGTTCAGGGAAATGCAGAAGTCTGAGTTTCGTCCAAACCCCATCACGATAACTTGTATTTTTTCAGCTTGTGCGCAGTTAGGAACTTTGAGTTTGGGGAAATGGGTACATGGTCTTGTAAGGAGCACAGATTTTGAGTCTAGCGTATATGTGTCTACAGCTTTGATTGGTATGTATGCAAAGTGTGGAAGCATTGAAGAAGCGCGGCGGTTGTTTGACTTGATGCCGAAGAAGAATGAAGTTACATGGAACACAATGATATCCGGTTATGGACTCCATGGACATGGACATGAAGCTCTGAATATCTTCTCTGAGATGTTGAGTTCCAGCGTTGCACCGACGCCAGTCACTTTCCTCTCTGTTCTTTACGCTTGTAGTCATGCTGGTCTTGTCAAGGAAGGTGATGAGATATTCAATACCATGATCCACCAGTATGGTTTTGAACCAACGGTCAAGCATTACGCCTGTATGGTTGATATTCTTGGCCGAGCAGGGCATTTGCAGAGAGCATTGCAATTTATAGAGGCAATGCCTGTTGAGCCGGATCCTTCCGTGTGGCAAACACTGCTTGGAGCTTGTAGGATCCACAAAGACACAAACCTTGCACGTACTGTCTCTGAGAAGCTGTTTGAGCTAGATCCAGACAATGTAGGCTACCATGTTTTGCTGTCGAATATTCACTCAGCTGATAGAAATTATCCACAGGCTGCTACGGTAAGGCAAGAAGCAAAGAAGAGGAAACTAGCCAAGGCTCCTGGTTATACCTTGATAGAAATCGGTGAGACGCCTCATGTCTTTACCTCAGGTGATCAGTCACATCCACAGGGGAAAGCAATCTATGAGAAGCTAGAGGAGCTTGAAGGGAAGATGAGGGAAGCTGGGTATCAACCAGAGACGGAGTTGGCCTTGCACGACGTGGAAGAGGAAGAAAGGGAGCTGATGGTGAAATTTCACAGTGAGAGGCTAGCCATTGCCTTTGGACTCATTGTCACCGAACCAGGAACTGAAATCCGGATCATAAAGAATCTCAGGGTCTGTTTAGACTGTCACGCCGCAACCAAACTCATCTCAAAGATCACAGATAGAGTGATAGTTGTAAGAGACGCCAACCGCTTCCACCATTTTAAAGACGGTGTGTGTTCTTGCGGAGATTATTGGTAGTGGCTTCCCAAGTCATATTGTACTCGTACTGTAACATTATATCACTCATAATTGATAATTCTTTAAGTCTTGGTTCTTGTTATACAATCTTTACGGCTAAGCTCAAAGGTTGAGGAAGATCTTTTTTCAAATAATCTATTTCTATGGTTACACATACATGGGAATGCAAAAAGCATAGTAGAAAATGAACTATACAGAAATTTATCAAACTCATAGTCATTACCAGATAATATATATATATATATCCAGACAAATATGCATCATATAATATCCTCAAGTTGCAGTAACACCTGCCGCTGAAACTTCATCATCAGCTGGCTTTTTCTTCTTTTTTGAAGGTGGTTCTTGAGCTTTCTTAAGAACTTCCTTGTTTGGCACTAAGACAATAAACAAGTTTCTGTCCCGAAAGTTTTTACTTTCCTCAGTCGCAAGCTGCAGAAGTTGACAAGTTCCAGTAACAAGATCGATTAAGGAGCAATACAGATGCCAATTCAATACCAAACTCAAAAGTGTAGAGAAGAATGCACACACCTCTCCTATTTCAGTTTGAAAACGTCTGAGGAGCTCAATAGCAATATTTCTGAACTCGTTTTCCCTGCCTTTCATGTTCACAATCACTTTAACCTTGTCACCATCTTGCAAAAACTTCCGGGCAGCTCTCATGCGTACAGAATAGTCATGCTGATCGATGTTATAACTATCAGGGAAAAAACAAGGACAAACCTTTTGAGAAGAGAAGTTTCTAAACAAATCAATGCAACGGCACAGACACAAAAAGAAAGACACGGCGCATATTACCCCATTTTAAGCTCCTTCAAGTCCATGCGAGTAGCTAACATAAGAAGAGCTTCAGTTACAAATCCATTAATGTAAAATTTGAGTTAAGGAGAGAGAGAGAATGAAGAATACTTTTCTTCTGCTGTTCCTTTTTCCTCTTTTGCTGTTCGTATCTGTATTTACTGGTACAGTGAAACAAAAGGAAAAAAAAAAATCAGTCCATATGATATAATATAAGCAACTTTAGACGATAACTCACCTGTAATCCATCATTCTGACAACAGGGGGATCTGCATCCGGCGAAAGAATCACCTGAAAATCAAGTTTACTGAAACAACATCAGAAAGGACAATGCTTTTCAAGAAAGGTATCTTGAATTTTTCAAAAAAAAAAGCACAAACCAGATCAAGCTCAGCTTCATCAGCTCTTCGAACAGCTTCCTCCTTTGAAACTATACCAATCTACAGACAGAACAAAGAAACTGGAAATGTGTTCTGTTTTGCTGAAAATCAAAAGGAACACACATAAAACATATTCAGTTACCATGTTCTGTTGGCCATCAATAAGCCTGACAGTAGCTGACCTACGCAACGGAAAGCAAAGATATCATCAATACATCAAAAAACATAGCTTCAGGTAGAGAAATTCACTTAATTGAAGTAATCCTGAATCACCTAATAGCTGAGATATCAAGCGCATCATCATTTTCTGATTCTTTTTGTCTACCTCGCTTATCTCCGGGGAATCTAGAGCCACCTCCACCACCACCACCGCCTCCTCCGTAACGGCAAGTGACGGCGGGGCTACGACGATGATACGGGGAGAGAGTAACAATGGACAATTTGGACAGACGACGTGGAAGACAGAAAAGCTTAGATTTAACAGAGAATGGATGATACGACACCGTTTTGGTGGTTCCAGTGAGTATAGCGTCGAAACCAACGATCCTGGTTACCCCAGCCATAGAGCTTCAGAGCCAGAGCACCACTCTCCGAGTCACCAGAAAACTGAAATATATTCAATTAAAATATAAAGTTCTTATCCAGATAGATATTTCATTTTAAAAACATTTATTAAATAAATAAAAAATATTCACGTAATATCCAAAGATAGTGTTGACATAAAAAAAAAGAGAGAGGAAGAAAGTCATACGATCATATAATTAAAAACAATGGATCGTTTTTAGTAATGTCAGGCCCAATAACAAAAGGCCCAAACCCTAAAAACGCATGGGGGGAGAAGCTGATAACGAAAATAAAAAGAAGCATCAACGCTTCTCCGCCGCGTTCATTCTTTCTCTCACAAAACTCTCTTTCAATCTCTCTCTCTCACTTCGTCAATTTTGTCTCATTGAATCTATACTCCGAAAGTGATGTTGAGCTTGAGGCCAGGAGGAGGTCGTGGAGGAAGCAGTTTCTTCGCCCCACGCTCTACCTTGTCTTCTTCCTCTGATCTTACCAATCCCGAAGACGCTCCTTCGTTCGCTGTTAAGGTTATTTTATTCGACTTTTTTTCCGTTACTCTTAGATTTAAAAAGACACATGCATGATGGCAATGTCCTAATTCTTGGTGGGGCGCTTAAGCAATGCGGCCTTGCTGTAAATATGGACAAATATTGAAATACTTGTGTAGGCTTTTTTTTTTGGTGGGCACTCTTTTAGTTTTTTGATGCTCATAAAAGGTCCCTACGTATATTTTAATTGATAATACATCTTATTTATTTTAAGAGCTCATGTGTGTTGAATCTCTAACCATGTTTTGAATGTTGATGTTTTAATGGTTTGTTTAATGTTTTTATTAGAGAGGAGACTCGAGATTTGAAGGTCATGAGATTGTGAAGTTCACCCGGGAACAGCTGCTTCAGCTTAAAGAGGTAACATGCGTCACTTTGTTATCTTCTTATGTTTTAATTTAGAGGTATGCTTTGGTTTAAATGTTACCACTCTTGTGGTTGTAGGTCAATATATATTCGCTTCAACTTTGTTATTTATTCGTCGTTTTTCATGTGCAGACGAGCAAAGTCTCTGATGAAATCCTGAAGCTCGCTCAGGAAATTGCATCTGATCTTTTTGGCGAAGAGCAGAGCTGGGGTCGTTCTGAAAACAAGGTGAGTGTTTTATTACTTTGTTGAAGAACCAATGAACTGAGTTTCTTAACTGCTTTGCGAGTTTTTTTTTTAATATCCGTTCTTGCTTGTTCTTTGCAGCCTGCAGTACAAGTTCAAAATCGTTACTCGGAAACTGATAACCGTGATTGGCATACTCGTGCACCAATTCCTTCCCCAAGTAAAGACAGGTCAAGGGAGGATCAACGTGAAGCTAGAGATGCGTATTCTGGATCAAACCAAGGGGTGAGTGCTGACTTCTGACACTTTATTTTTGACAATTCCTTAGGTGGTTATTGTTTGTAGCTAACATCATAACTTGCTGAAACAGTCTGGCCCTCCTCCTGCCCTTGTGAAAGCCGAGGTCCCATGGTCTGCTAAAAGAGGAACTCTTTCAGAAAAAGACCAAGTCCTCAAGACCGTGAAAGGGTATTGTATTCTTCATGACTTTATCTTTGTGTTTGCGGTTATTTGCTTTATATAGTTGATTTAGTCTTAATAGTTCTGTTTCTCTGCAGTATTCTGAACAAGATGACTCCTGAGAAGTATGATCTTCTTAAAGGTCAATTAATTGACTCTGGCATCACGTCCGCGGACATCCTAAAGGTACTCACTCCCAGTTCTGTCTGCATTGTTTTGTTTGTAGTTATCTCTCCATGGCAGGATTTGATTTTATTCTTAAATTCAGGGAGTGATCCAGCTTATTTTTGAGAAGGCCGTTCTGGAGCCCACATTTTGTCAGATGTATGCTCTTTTGTGTTTTGATATCAATGGAAAGCTGCCTTCGTTTCCATCAGAGGAAGCCGGTGGAAAAGAAATAACATTCAAAAGAGTGCTTTTGAATAATTGCCAAGAACAATTTGAGGGAGCTGACAAATTGAAGGAAGAAGTCAGACTCATGACTGATCCATCGCAAGAAATGGAGCGCAAGGACAAGGAAAGAATGGCCAAGCTCAGAACACTAGGAAATATCCGTTTAATTGGTGAACTTCTGAAGCAGAAGATGGTCCCTGAGAAGATCGTTCATCACATCGTCCAGGTATATTATGACTCACGCTCTACTTTTTGTACGTTGAAAGTTGAGTTTCATGTAATACTCTTCTGTAGAGCTCATGGTGAGTTTGTGTCTGGTCGCAGGAGCTTTTAGGATCCGACACTAAAGTTTGCCCATCAGAGGATGATGTAGAGGCTCTTTGTCAAGTTTTCATCACCACTGGAAAACAACTCGATGAGAACCCAAGATCACGAAATATAAACGACATGTACTTCACCCGTTTGAAGGATTTAGCAGTGCACCCGATGCTAGAGCCACGCTTGAGGTTTATGGTCCGTAATGTTGTTGATCTACGAGCTAACAAGTGGGTGCCAAGGCGTGAGGAGGTAGGATTTTATAGAGCCTATATGTATTTACTGAGAGATATATCTATATTTGCTTATGTTTTTGTTCTTGCTTTGTAGATGAAAGCCAAGAAAATCACTGAGATTCATTCCGAGGCAGAAAAGACTCTTGGTTTGCGCCCTGGTGTAATGGCGAATATGAGGAACAATAACCACCGTGGTGGTGCTGATGCTGGTGGAGCTGAAAATTTTGGCTCTGGGAACTTCCTTGGACGTTCTGGTACTGGAGGAATGATGCCTGGTATGCCAGGGGCTAGGAAGATGCCGGGGATGCCTGGAACCGATGATGATGGCTGGGAGATGGCACGTTCCCGCTCTATGCCCAGAGGAAACAGGCAGAATCCGCAGCCTGCAGGGCGTGTTCAGTCTCCTGCTATCATTAACAAGTCACTGTCTGTTAATTCAAGGCTCCTACCTCAGGGAAGTGGTGGTGTTTTGAATGGTAAACCAAGTGCCTTATTGCAAGGTAGTAGTGCTGAGCCTCCTAAAGCTGTTATTACCCCGGCCAAACCAGCTGTTGAGAAGACACAACCACAGCCACAGGTGGCGGTTCCTCCTATGGCAGCTACTAGCTTGAACTCTGAAGTGCTCAGCAGAAAAACCAAGTCACTTTTGGAAGAATACTTCAATGTCCGCCTATTGGATGAGGCTTTGCAATGCGTAGAGGAACTGAAATCCCCATCTTACCATCCTGAGCTCGTCAAGGAAGCTATCTCCCTCGGTTTGGAGAAAAATCCACCGTGCGTTACACCAGTTGCGGATCTCTTGGTACATCTGGTCTCTAAGAACGTTCTAACTCCTAAAGACATAGGGAGTGGTTGTCTGCTTTACGGAGCTATGCTTGATGACATCGGAATCGATCTGCCAAAGGCACCAAACAACTTTGGGGAGATACTTGGGAGTTTGGTTATGGCCAATGCATCAAGTTTCGAGATGGTGAAAGAGATTCTAATGAAAATGGAGGATGACTGGTTCAAGAAAGCGGTCTTGGATGCTGTGATCAAGAGTGTAAGCGAGTCTCTTTTGGCTACGCATGCAACTGAAGTCGAGGCATGCCGTAGTTTGGTGTAGATCAGTTCTCGGCGGAAAACAGGTTGATGTCTTTCCTCAAAACATTTTCTTAAAACTTGTTGAGTTAAATTACCATACTAGTAATCGAGATTAATTACAATCTTGTTACATGGTTTTGTTTGTTCTTGATTTGTGTATTTTCTTTTTGGTGCCTACATCTTGGTTTTGATTAGTTCAAGATGATACTATTGTTTAATGGTAGTGTTTTAACATTTGTGGAATGAATTTTTTTATTTAATACAGCATGTCATTTTAACTTGTAATACACTGACCAAGTTATATCAGTAAGATATGGGACGTGATAAAATGTAACTTGCACAGCTCGAGATCACACATTCATTCATAAACGTGACAAAATGTATACTTTGGAACATTTTAAACCTTACCAGAATCTGTCTTGAGTTTAGTAATCATTCGTCTAAATTAATAAACTATTGCATTGAAAACAGCATGTTCCTATTTCATCACTCCAATTTGTGAAATAGTTTTTAAGCCTGTTAAAAGAAACTAACATGCAACGAAAAGAATATTAAAAGGGATGATGATTAGTACTAACATCAACTTCATTACACATAGTCATAGATAAAAGAGTCTTCCAAATAAACAAGGTCTTGTGACAACAAACAAGTTCAACAACTAGCATAAGGTCTTCATAATACTTTGACTTATTAACCCTCTCTAGATACTTACTCACCAAGACAATCTAGATCTTGTTTATTTACTTAGAGAAGCGAGGGATGATGAAATCAACAAGTAGACCCGTCGGCTCAGTGAGCTGAGACTCCTCGCCGCTGTCATTGGGGAGTGATGTGAGCACCCGAGTCGTAGACACTTTGAGGAATGTCTCCTTCTTCTTGTAGACTATCTTCACCTCCAAAAACGGACCTTCCTTCATCGTCCCATTTCCAGTTATCATCACATCCCTAAGACCAACATAGCGTGACTCAGGACCTGATGGACCCTCGTAAAACCCCTGCCACACAATCACACAACTTATATCAATGACAAAAATCTCTAAAAAAATTCAACATAAGAGGAGAAAGAAAAGATCAGTACCTCATCTCTAACGAGATCGAACTCAGGACTGAACACATGAAGTCTCGCTCCTACAGGTTGCTGATTCAGCAACTTAGTCGCCTTTTTCGATGTCTTAGCCTCAATCAGTTTACCTTTCATGGGAACACGAGGGATGAGATGCGCAAACGGGGGAGGCTTGTGGACGCATCCCACATGTGTCCAGTCCTCGTGTTTCGGTAGCCCTTCTTTCAAAGCATACTCGAGGCAGTCCTTGAGAGTCAAGGTGTTGCGTCGCTCATCCACTTCTCTCGGCTCAGATTCAGGCTTGGGAGTAGCGATGTCCACCAAGTAGGCAAGGCAATCTTGGATGGTGAACGAGGAGGGTTGTGGATCCGGAGAGGGTTCATCCTTGCGACCAGCGTTGTCGACCAAGAACTGAGCAGAGTAGGCAGTGTACTCACTGTCCAGCTTAGCAATCACACGAGCACTGCTTATCAGACAAACAGCGATCATGGCGGCTCTTTCAGCTGCATCTGCAACACACAAACAAATCCATGTTTAGTCAGTGCATTTCATTTTTTTTCGAAAATGATCAAACGGAACATGTTATAATCAAAACGAGAGTGACAAACAATCAGTCAAAACCATGAGACAGTCCTTCATTTTCTCTAATGACAAGCAAAGAAAGTAACTTTCTTACCATGCTCTTCTTGGGCCTCCATAGCTCGTTGGCAATCTGGGTGAGTGTGTTGAGACATCTTCTTGATCTGCAAAACTTTTCATTCACAAAACTTGTTCAGTAAACACATTCTCAAAGCAATCATAAAGTTGATAACTTTCCTTAAGAAGCGTTTCAGATGGAAAGGAAAAGCAGACAACTTTAAGTATGGAGACTGTTGATTCCTAGCTAGGTCAGACATCAAGAGCAGAATCAAGCAGATCGAAGAATGTACACACGAAAAGCAAAACAAGACCTGACATGGGTTTCAAGTTCGACACAAACACAAACCCTAATCATCGAGACAATAACAACGAGATAGCTTGTTTGAAGAACGAGTAACCTACTTAAAGAAAAGGACTTGGCAGCATTATTCCTCAAAAGCAGAAATTTTAAAACCCTAATACGTAACTAGCTACAAGGTTCATCATTAATAAGTGAAAAAAAAAAAAAACAAGTCACAAGCATAATGATCCTTTGAAAAAGACAAAGCAAAGCTTAACAGATCGAGAAGAGAACACACATAAAGCAACGTCGAGAAAGTTACCGGATACTTAGAGACAACAAACAACAAGCGGTGAGTGAGTGAGACTGAGTGAGAAGGTAGTGGCAGCCACAAAATTGCACTTGGCGTATCAATTTATAAAAAGTTCTATAAAGAAACCCTCCGAACCTCCACTTTAAAACGACGACGATTTAAGGAGGTTATTGAATACGCAATGGTTTAGCTGCTTTCTTCCTTATTTTCTAAACCAACAAAACACTGCCAAGTGGCATACATATATACTACTCCGGTTTAAAGACAAAGTCATGCATTTTGAAGGATAATTAACCTTATTAAAAAGTTCCAAAAAAATAAAATTAACCTCATTAATGACAAAGTTACATTCTCATGACACAGGAGTTTCTCTTCCTTACCGATTCTGACACGGGAAAAACCAGAAACAATTTTCTAAAAATTGGTCATTTTTTCAGAAGAACATTTATATACCATAATAATAATTTTTTTCTTAAAATGGTTAATTTTTTCAAGTATTTTTTGAGGGTAGAAATTGTTGCTTGTAATGCTTTCCCTGGTACAAAGCCACTGAACCGTTCTTCATCTCTCTTAATGCCTGTCTTGAACACGACAGTTGGCTACGCATGCAGATGCAGCTGAAGTCGAGGCATGTCGTAGTTTTGGTATAGAGCATTCTCAAAGACCCCAGGGTGAGAGCTCTTTCCTCAAATTACTTTCTAAAAACTTCTTGAGTTAAATACCATACTAGTCATCCAGATTAGTTTCAATCTTGTTACATGGTTTTGTTTTTTTCTTGATTTGTGTATTTTTCTTTTTGGTGCCTATCATCTTGGTTTTGATTAGTTCAAGATGCGCAAGACGATGATACTATTGTTTAATGGTAGTGTTTTAACTTTTGTGGAATGAATTTTTTTATTTAATACAGCATGTCATTTAAACTAAATATTAGCTTGTAATGCACAGACCAAGTTACAGTATATGACCAAGTAAGATATGGCATGTGACAAAATTTACTTGATATCAACTTCATTACTCATAGTCATAGATTAAAGTCTCCTAAAACAAGGTCTTGTAACAACAAACGAGTTCCACAACTAGCATATAGTCTTCATGATACTTATTAACCAACAAGCTCTCTAGATTCTTACTCACCAAGACCACCTACGATCTTGTTTATTTACTTAGAAAAGCGAGGAACGATAAAATCAACAAGGAGACCCGTCGGCTCAGCGAGCTGAGACTCCTCGCCGCTGTCATTGGGAAGTGAGGTAAGCATACGAGTTAAAGACACCTTGAGGAATGTCTCCTTCTTCTTATAGACTATCTTCACCTCGAAATAAGCTTCCTTCAAAGTCCCTCCACTTATCATCACATCCCTAAGACCAACATAACGTGACTCAGGACCTGACGGACCCTCGTAAAACCCCTGCCACACAAATCAAACAACTTACATCAATGAGAGAATCTCTAAGAAGTTCAAAATAAAGAGAGAAAGAACATACCTCATCTCTAACACGATCAAACTCAGGACTGAACACATGAAGTTTCGCTCCTACAGGTTGCTTCCTCAGCAACTCAAATGCCTCTTCCGGCGTCTTAGCCTCAATCAGTTCACCGTTCATGGGAACACGAGGAATGAGAGACGCAAACGGTGGAGGCTTGTGGACACATCCCACATGTGTCCAGTGCTCGTGTTTCGGTAGCCCTTCTTTCATAGCGTACTCGAGGCAGTCCTTGAGAGTCAAGGTGTTGCGTCGCTCATCCACTTCTCTCTGCTCGGACTCAGGCTTGGGAGTAGCGATGTCCACCAAGTAGGCAAGACAGTCTTGGATGGTGAACGAGGAGGGTTGTGGATCCGGAGAGGGTTCATTCTTGCGACCAGCGTTGTCCACCAAGAACTGAGCAGAGTAGGCAGTGTACTTACTGTCCAGCTTAGCTACCACACGAGCACTGCTTATCAGAGAAACAGCGAACATGGCGGCTCTTTCAGCTGCATCTAAATATAGTAAAAAACAAACCCAATAAAAATGTTATCTTCTTCAAACGAGAGTAACAAGCTATCAGTCCAAACCAAATCAGAGTTTTTTTTTTCTGTAAAGACAGTAAAGAGAATAGCTTCAAGTTACTACCATGCTCTTCTTGGGCATCCATAGCTCGTTGACAATCAGGGTGACAGAGTTGAGACATCTTCTTGATCTGCAAAATTTTCATTACCAAAAAAAATGTTTCCATTAACACATTGTCAAAGTAAAAGCGAATCAAGGTGAAACCTTTCTTTTTAAAGTTGATAACTTTTCTTAAGAGGCGTTTCAGCGAGAAAGGAAAAAGCAGACAACATTAAGTATGAAAAGACTGTTGCTTTCTAGCTAGTTCAGACACCTACAGCAGAATCAAGCAACACGGAGATATACACAACAAGAATCAAGACAGAGACCCACAAAAACAAAACCTAACTAGTAAGCGGAAACATGGTTCGAGGTTTAACATTACATAACACTAATCGTCGAGCGCAGAAGACAGAACATAACGCAGATAGCTTCTTTCAAAGCAACGAGTAAACAAAACTAACTAAAGAAAAAGGATTCAATAGCTTCATTCATCAAAGCAGAAATTTTAAAACCCTAAAACGTAACTAAAAGTGTCATCATTTGTTCTCGCAAGTCACCACAAGCATAATCCGTGAAAAAAGACAAAGTAAAGCTTAACAGAGATCGAGTAGAGAAAACACGCAACGAACGTCGAGAAAGTTACCGCAGACGTGAGAGAGAGAGACAACAACAAGCGGTGTGGCTGAGTGAGAAGGTTGTGACAGTCTCGAAATTGCACTTAATTGGCGTAGCAATTTATAAAAAAGTTCTAGAAACCCTCCGAAGCTCCACTACAAAAAACGACGACGTTTTAGAGGTTCTTTCTTCCTTATTTTCCTAAACCCAATAAAAGACTGCCAAGTGACGATACTACTCCGGTTTAAAACTTTAAAGACAAAGTCATGCATTTTGACTTGAGGATAAGCTCATTAATAATGACAAAATACATTCCGGTTTAATATTTCGACTTTGAATACTCTCATTAATTGTTACGACATAAGATGATTATCTTCAGACAATTAATCATTTCTTATCTTACTAATTGTATCATTGGTGTATGTTTCATTTTGCACTTATGATGAATTTGATATGGATAACTGTATACGACCATAAGAATCAATAATAGTATTAGGTTTACATCAAATTTTCAACCTACGATATATCAGTATATATTATTTAATATTTCTAAATATTGGACTAGGCGATGAGTTTTGGGGATGGAGAATGCTTTTTGACATCGTGTGCACCAACGAGACTAAACGTAAGAGTATGACCATAAAATAAGAATTTCATATGATTAAAAATATAATAATTTCATTAGTTTTGGACTATTTGTAAGAAAAAATCTCATTCTTCTGCCAAACAAGAAAAGTTTGTAATTGCATTGGTGTGTCTTGTATACTTGTTTTGTATATAATTATTATTTTATTCGAAAGCCAATACATTATAGATGAAATTCCTCCCATAACATTTTTTTTGTGAAACATTCCTCCAATAGTTTGATAGGAAGATAATTTAAGAAAATCATTTTTCACCACATTTTGACATTTTAATCTCTTAGGTATAGTTGGAAATTTCTTGTCTTGCACTCATTTTTTTAAATTTTATTTTGGGGGTCAAAGTCTTAAACTAATTCTTAATTATGTATATATTTGTAGTATATAGCTGTGTTGGCCATGTATATACATTATCATTTTCGGACGTGTTGGTAATACACATCATATACTGAATGCATCTCGAAGGAAAAAAATATACATTATTTAAGATAAAATGTTCAACCGACGATCAATTATATTATTTTCTATCAATGCACAAAGAGGAGTGTGCAATGAGGTTTAGGACGGTTAATTATAACGTTGTCTGCTTTACGGGTCTATTCTTGAAGACATTGGTATCGATCTACCAAAGGCACCAAACAACTTTGGAGAGATTCTTGGGAGTCTGGTTATGGCCATTGCATCGAGTTTCGAGATGGTGAAGGAGATTTTAATAAAAATGGAAGATGACTGGTTCACGAAAGCAGTATTGGCTGAAGTGGAGGCATGCCGTAGTTTGTTGTAGAGTATTCTCAATATGTGTTTTGATCAAGTTAAGACCCCAGGAGGAGAGCTCTTTCCTCAAATCATTTTCTAAAAACTTGTTGAGCTAAATACCGTACTAGTTATGGACATTAGTTTCAATCTTGTTACATGGTTTTGTTTTTTTTCTTGATTTGTGTAAATTCTCCATTACAAACATTGACTTTGGAACATTTTAAACCGAACCAAAATCTATGTCTCGAGTTTAGAAATTATTCGTTTAAAATAACAAACTATTGCATTCAAAAAGGCGTGTTCTTATTGTATAACTCCGATTTGTTTGTTAAATAGTTTTAAAGAAGTCTGGTTAAAGAAACGAACATGCAACGAAGAAAATATTAAAAGGGATGCTGATAAGTACTAGATATCAACTTCATTACTCATACTCAGATAAAACAGTCTACTCATAGCCAAAGATAAAACAGTCTCCTAAAACAAGGTCTTGTAACAACAAACGAGCTCCACAACTAGCATATAGTCTTCATGATACTTATTAACCAACAAGGACTCTAGATACTTACTCACCAAGACCACATACGATCTTGTTTATTTACTTAGCAAAGCGAGGGATGATGAAGTCAACAAGCAGACCCGTCGGCTCAGTGAGCTGAGACTCCTCGCCGCTGTCATTGGGGAGTGAGGTGAGCTTGCGAGTTAAAGACACCTTGAGGAATGTCTCCTTCTTCTTGTAGACTATCTTCACCTCGAAATAAGGACCTCCCTTCAACGTCCCATTTCCAGTTATCATCACATCTCTTAGTCCAACATAGCGTGATTCAGGACCTGACGGACCCTCGTAAAATCCCTACCACACAATCACACAACTTACATCAATGAGAGAATCTCTAAGAAGTTCAACATAAAGAGAGAAAGAACATACTTCATCTCTGACACGATCAAACTCAGGACTGAACACATGAAGTCTCGCTCCTACAGGTTGCTGCCTTATTAACTTAGAGGCCTCTTCCCATGTCTTAGCCTCAATCAGCACACCATTCATGGGAACACGAGGTATGCGAGACGCAAACGGTGGAGGCTTGTGCACACATCCCACATGTGTCCAAAACTCGTGTTTCGGTAGCCCTGCTTTCATAGCGTACTCGAGGCAGTCCTTGAGAGTCAGCGTGTTGCGTCGCTCATCCACTTCTCTCTCCACGGACTCAGGCTTGGGAGTAGCGATGTCCACCAAATACGCAAGGCACTCTTGGATGGTAAGGGGTTGTGGATCCGGAGAGGGTTCATCCTTGCGACCAGCGTTGTCAACCAAGAACTGAGCAGAGTAGGCAGTGTACTCACTGTCCAGCTTAGCAATCACACGAGCACTGCTTATCAGAGAAACAGCGATCATTGCGGCTCTTTCAGCTGCATCTGCAAACACACACAGAAAAACAAACCCAACAAATGCATGAAATAGTCAGTTCATTTATTCTTTCGAAATGTCTCTTCTTTAAACAAGAGTAACAAGCTACCAAATCACAGTTTTTTTTTTTTAATTTTCTGTAAAGACAGCAAAGAGAGTAGTTTGAAGTTACTACCATGCTCTTCCTGGGCATCCATAGCACGTTGGCAATCTGGGTGAGTGTGTTGAGACATCTTCTTGATCTGCAAAATTTTTCATTTACAAAACTGTTCCATCAACACCTTCTCAAAGTAAACGAGAATCAAAGGCGAAACCTATTTTTTCATAAAGTTGATAGCTTTTTTTAAGAGAGCGTTTCAGAAAGCAAGGAAAAGCAGACAACTTTTTAAGTATGGAGACTGTTTTGCTTCCTAGTTATAGGTCAGACATCCAAAGCAGAATCAAGCAATACAAACACCAGAATCAACACGAGACCAACAAAACACGACCTAACTAACTAGCAAGCGCGCGGAAGCATGGTTTGTGGTTTAACATTACATAACCCTAATCGTCGAGCTGAGAAGACGCACGTCTTGTAAACAACGGAGTAACCAAACCAAAGAAAAGGATTCAGCAGCATCATTCATCATCAAAAGCAGAAATTTTTAAAAACCCTAAAACGTAACTAAAAGGTTCATCCTTTGTTCTCGCAAGTGAAACACACAAGTCAAAAAACATAATCCGTGAGAAAAAAGACAAAGCAAGCTTAACAGATCCACTAGAGAAACACATTAAGAAAATCTACCGGAGACCGGGAGACGTGAGCGAGACAACAACAAACGGTGGGGCTCTGAGTGAGAAGTTAGTAAGCAGCCTCAAAATTGCACCTTGGCGTTGCAATTTATAGAACTTTCTCGAAACCCTCCTAAGCTCCTCTGTAAAACGACGACGTTTTGAGGTTTCTTGTATACGCTGCCGTTTTAAGCTGATTCTTTCTTCCTTATTTTTAAAAATCAACCACGTGGCAATCATTATACTAATGACACTCCGGTTTAAAGAGACAAAGTCACGCATTTTGAAGCGATAATAATTAAATTAATTAATGACAAACACATTAGTATAATATAACGCCGGTTTAAGGAAAGAGTCACACATTTTCAAGTCTTTAGCGTTATAAATACTAGTACTAATTCTTTGCGCCCCATTACATATCTCATTCATTTGGTGAAATATCCCATTTTGTTCTCCTATTTGTTTGGATCAAATACATTATACACACATTATTTGATAAAACCACCAAATGAGGATTTCACTGGCTTTAAATTGTTCATTGATTATATTCCTTCTGTTTCTCTCTCAGCCTTTACAAGTTTCATCTGAAAATCAAGAAAGTAAAGCCCAAACGTTGACGACTTCTTGGAGACGAAGTCTTGCACAACACGGTGACTCTCTTCGTGCTTTCATTAGGAAACGTGGCGGTGGTGGTGGTGGTAAGGGTCGTAGTCGTAGTAGCCGCCGTCCTGTTCCTTATACTGGTGGTGGTGCCGGTGGTTCGTCGGCTACCTCTAGACCTTCTTTTTCGGTCACATTCGGTTTAGGTTCAACGGTCGCGAGTTTTATGTTGTTGGTGTTCTTCGCCTTCTAGTTTCATATTTGTGTTTTGAATTTTTTTTATAAATTGTAATGGTGTGTTATTTTTTTTCCAATCATGTGTGAGCTGATCAATATTGTAAAATCAGGAAACACACAAAATTCATCGTGGTTTGTATATGAAATTGTTAATTTTAATCGAAAGCTTTTAGGTGTATACATTTCGACTTTGAATACTCTAGTTAATTGTTACGACTTAAGATTATTATCTTCAGAGAACTACTCATGTCATTACTTATCTTACTAATTATATCATTGGGGTGTGTTTCCAGTGGAGTTCAATTTGATTTAGTCCAATCAAATTGTACTTATGGTGAATCTGATATGTAAAACTCTATACGACCACAAGAAACAATAATAACGGGTTAACATCAAATTTTCGACCTACGATACATCTGAATATTATATAAAATCTCTTTCAATCTTGGAGTTGGCGTTGAGTTTTTGGGATGGGAAATTTTTTTTTTGACGTCGTGTGCACCAACTAGAGACTAAACGTATGATCATATATAAGAATTTCATTTGGTCAACAAGTAATACTAATAATTTCATTAGTTTTGACCTTAATGTAAGAATAAATCTCATTATATACTTCTGTCAAACAAGAAAAGTTCTTAATCACATTGGTGTGTCTTGTATAGTTGTACTAGGTGTGGACCCGTGCGTTGCACGGGTTTCTGTTTTAAATTTATGCAAAACGTAAAAAAGAAAAAAAAATTTGTAATTGTTGGATTTTTACATATATTGCGTGAAATTTATTTTTTTTTTAAAAAATTGTTTTTCCACATAAATTTTGGTTAGTATTTATGTTTCAATAATATATTTTTTTGTCGGCTATGTTTCAATAATCATAGTGCATAAACAGTTATTAGCAATGTTGAATTTAGGGATTAAAAAAAAATCTAAACCCAAAAATTTAAAAAGAATATAACCCTGAAAAAATATGAATTAGAGTAAAATACAATAAATTAGAAAGTTGAATCAAGACAATCGAATCGGTGACAATATATGCACTTTGTAGAATTTCTCTATCTTAAAAAATATATAGTGAACAAAATTACATCTCTATATTTAGAGAAAAAATAGTCTTACTCTATATTTCTATAATAACAAAAATAAAAAATCTATTACAAAATCATACAATTAAGCAAATTTACATTTATAATAAAACTTCACTATTTCAAAAGAAAATATACTAATGAATCTATAGATGAATTGAAAATTATCTTATTTGTTTAACTAAGGGAAATATTAGATCAACATTTTTGTCATGTAATCTATGGGTAATGAAACTATAATACATTATGCATTTCATACTACTTTAATTCTTGTAGTCACAAACTTGTATGTTGTGAAGACCATGTTTTTTAATCTTTATTGTCTAAATAACTATTTATGAATAGAACTTATTAATTATAGTTTTATGGCGACCAAAGCTATAATAAATAATAAATTATAAATTATAAATTATAAATTATAAATTATAAATAATAAATTGTATTAGTGTATGTTGTAATAGAGCTGAAATCACAATATAATATACAAATTTCAATATATATATTGAATTCTCATTTTTCTTTATAATCTTTTCACTCTAGATTCATATTTATAGTAATAACATTTTCAAGAAAAAAAAATATGTATCTAAGCTAAATTATATTTTTTGCATAAAAACAAATTAGTTACATAATTATAAGTATATATATGTATATAATATTTTTAATAACGGAAAAGGATAAAAATAAATTCATATTCGTTATCTATTATATTCAAAATAATTTGCTTCTCACTTTTTAGTAACAGAAATATATTCTTTCATTAAACTGGTTCAATTTAAACAATTTTTTGAATTCATTATTTCTTGATGCTACATATCTATAATAACAACGTAAAATAAAAATGAAGTATAAGAAAATATTGTATAGTTAAATTCAGAAAAAATTAATAAAATAATGTAAGAAGTTAGATTTTTTACCAAATACATATAAAGATCGGTTACATGGAGACAATAATAATAATAATAATAATAATAATAATAATAATAATAATAATAATAATAATAATAGTAATAATGTTTAATAATAATAATAATAATAATAATAATGTTAAATTTTTATTTATATGAAAATAATAAAATAGAAGTTTATATATCCAACACTTTTACCTTCTTTATATGTATTCACGTTTGGCTATATTCATCTAAAGTATTACAATTCTCTTTGGTTTAATATTTTAACAGGAAAAATACTATTAAATATTTATAAGAAAAATATTTTGTAAATATTTTAATTTGTATAGAAATTTATCTTAAAATAATGTTTAGTGTTACTTATCTTAGACCATGTTTTAAAAAAAAAGAAATGCTATTCTTAAAATTTTATTTATATGGAAATATTAAAAAATTTCTTTTTTAAGAATTTTTAAAACGGAAAATTGTCTTTTTAGATTATTTTAATATTCTTTTCGTTTAGTTTTTTTTTTAAAACAAAAACTGTTATTAACACATATCATAATCTTAAATATATAATTGTCATGTATCGCATTCATATTAATTAGAAACTTTGGAAAACCAAGCTTGTAATTATCTTAAACCCATGTTTTAAAAAAGAAATACCATTGTTAAAATTGATTAATCATTTTTAACATTTAAATTGATTTTAAATGGATTTTATAATATTTTTAAATTGATTAAAGAAATACCATTGTTAACATTGATATGCAATTGTTTTTTTACATTTATCATTCCATTAGGATTTAAGAAAAGGAAAATTAACACTAAATAAATCCTTTTGCAAATCTATTTTTTGCCAAAAAAAAAGGAAAGTTAACTTTTTAGAATATTTTTATATTCTTTTGGGTTAAGTTTTTTGTTTAAATAAAACCTGTTGTTTAACACATGTCATATCTTTAATATATAATTTCCATGTTTTATAATCATTATATTTAATAACTATAAAAAAAGAAACTATTATTAAATATTATTTATATGGAAATATAAGTTTTACAATCTTTGTTTAAGATTGTTTAAAAAGGAAAACTAACAATTTAAAGTTTATGTTTAAGATTTTTGAAAAAGTAAAACTAACTATAAAACTCTTTTGGTTTAAAAGAAAAATTGTTATTTAACACATGTCATAATCTTAAATATATAATCGCCATGTGTCGCGATCATGTTAATTAGTAACTTTGAAAACCAAGCTTTATATAATAAGATTGTATAGAATTAATATTTTAATCGAAAGCTAAGACATTATTTGAAATTTCTCCCAAAAAGGATGATAATTGTATCACCACATCTTGACATTCTAAACCTTTAGGTATAGTTGGACAGCTTGTCTTGCATTAATTCTTTTTTTTGTTGGGTCAAAAGTCTTAAACTAGTTATAAATTATTGATTTTCTTAGTATATTCTGTGTTGGTGATATATATATATACATCATCATTTTTCGACGTGTTGGTAATACATATCTCCATACTGAATGAATACCACGAGAAGGAAAAAAAACATATTTTAGATCAAACTTTGACTAGCGAGGAGTGTTCAATGAGGTTTAGGATGGTTACTTGTAAGTTGTAACGTGGTGTGCAACGTATAACGGACTAGAAAACTTCAGATTAATCACAATCCAATGTAGCATTGCTGCTTAAGGGAAGAAGAACAAAACAATAGTAAATCAGCTTTTTTTTTTTCAAAACAGATTAGACTGCTCATTGCTCAGAGAACATATTCCTTGCACTATTCACTACCGTTCATGTGGAGGAGAATCAAAACTTTACCCGACAATGTCTGCTTTTTCTTTTATTTCTTTTCATCAGATTTTTTGCAATCTTTGTTCTGTTTATGAGTTGTAATCTTTCTCACCTTTAGTGTTTTCATCTCCCTTTCTCTCTGTGCAGATAATACTCCTCCTATATATATATATTCACTTCATCAGTGGTTTAACTTACAACAGATCATCTCACCTCAATCTAATCTTTTCATGACCGCCTGCAATGAAGAGATACTATCAATATTTGTTTCTCATCATCAGCATCTTCTTCTTTATCGCCTTTGCTTTTGCTGAAGAACCTCAACGTTGTTCAGACAAAACAGCCTACTTGGTTCACAAAGGCAATTAGTCTGCTTTCAATATATTTACTACAAAGCTATAGTACATTTTAACTGATTTTTTTTTTTTGTGGTTTTTGCAGAGAGACTAGTCGCTAGAGTAGCTAGTGACAAGAGAGCTCATGGAAGAATTTCGGAGGTGAGCAAGGCAAGAGGCGTTTATGGAGGTGGATCACTTGTCAGACCTACAGGTAAGAAGAACAGAGCTATATCCTCCATGACCAAATCTGCTTCACTCGCTGTTCTTCAAGTAACTGTTGCAGTTCTTGTCCATCTTTTCTTGCACTGAAAATGCAAAACTTACTCTATGTGCAAACTGGTTACTTTTTGATGCAAAGATTCAGAATTTCTAAGTTTTATCTAGCATTTCGATCTGCTTCACATTCATCAAATAGAGGTGATTTCCAATGTTTAATAAGCTGTGTAGAGTTCTGTTCTCTATCTCTCTCCCAAAAGAATCTAGTTTCTGCATACTATTACATAACCTTTATTTATCATACTATGTTGGTATCCACACAAGATGAGAGAAGCCAAGAAGGTATAGTATTCATTTGCTTCAATGATCTTTAGAGATGACCTATATAACCTAAGATTGAAGAACTATAAAACCTACACGGCCTACTAGGTTTCCAAAGTTAAACTATGGTAATATAATCTTGCAACCTGAACACAGACGCCAACAAGTGAATAATCTAACCTTCAATCTTGCATATTATAACAAGAGGATAATAGTCAAAGACGCTAAGTTTTTAAATCTCTGTTCAACACATTACACATTATAATTTATTTGGGATACAAAGAGTAAACAGTTTTTTTTTTAAAAGAACAAACACAAGACAGAGATATCAATCAAGCGGAGTAGTAAAGAGGACGTCTGGCTTCATCGAAGTACTCTTCTTGGTTCTGGAACACAATCACGTAAAGAGCATAGATTATCCCTGGTACGTATCCTAATATAGTCAGGATCAAGCATATCAAGAACTCCACCTACAACCAAATCAGAGTTTGATATAAATCAATCCATTCACTAGTCAGAGTTGAGAATGATCAAACAGAAACTAATCATCCAATACTGACAAGCCTAGAGTAGTTCTTGAGAGATTGAACACAAACTTATGAATCAAACAACATAGATCATCTCTTGAACAGTAAAAAAAAAGGAAAAAAGAGAAAGCCTTACAGTGCAACAGCCACGCCTGAGGCAAACTCCTAGAGGAGGGAGAAGGATCGCGATCAAGATCTCGCACAAGATTTCGCACTTGCTCGGCATTTTTCTCAGAAGAAAGTGTAAACAAAACTCTGAACAAATGAAGACTTTTGATCTTATGATAAGACTATATTGAAGAAATAGACCACTATAGTTTTGTTGTCGGCACAGAGATAGAGAACAATCCACGTTCTCTTTTATGATTTTTTTGCGGTTACATAGTCAATAACGAGATCCCTACCGTTCATTTATATACGTTTTAAAATCGTACGGTTAATATTTACTTCTCGTGACTTACCTTACATCCACTCCTTTATATTTTCATCTCAACGTTGTTGATATGGTGTGATGTAACACACACGATCACTATTAGATATTTTGAACTCTGATTGGTCCCCTCCAGCGTGTGACATGTGTAAGTAAACTAAAGTGGGCCTAAAAGGCCTGAGTTTGGACAGCAGCGTAATGGGTCATACTAGAAAAGACTATTTGATTACAATGGCATATACTTGAATATACGTGATAAGGAAACAGAAGAGATTGCAAATCAACTTTATTGAATGGTTACATAAGAGTAACATATTGTATGGACCAACAGATAAATCTCAAGCTGAGTTGAGTGGGCTGTAATCCTGAGTCTCCCCTTCACGGTTCTGAAACACGATCACGTAAATAGCATAGATTATCCCTGGAATGTAGCCTAAGATAGTCAACACCAAGCATATCAAGAACTCTAGCTGCAAGAAGTATTCAAAACTCACTTAGTTACCAAACAAAAAAAAACTCGATAGATAGATAACAAAGTAACAAGAGAACTTACAGTGCAACAGCCACGCTTGAGGCAGACTCCAAGAGGAGGAAGAAGGACCGCTATTAAGATCTCGCAGAACACTTCCATATTGCTTGCCATTTTTTTTTTGTAAGAGATGAGAAGAAACTGTTAAAGATTATTTGCTTTTTATAATGGAGAAGAGAGTACACTAATAGTAATAGTTGCCTCTTCTGGGATCCAGTGAAGCGCAATCCACGCTCTTGAAAAGTCAGATTCGGGATCTCCACCGTTCATTTATAGAAATTAATTTTAAATCGTGCGGCTTCAGATACATACCGACATCTCATGAATCACCTTACCCTACCTTCTTTAGATATTTTTCCATCTCAACATGGTTTAGAGCAACTCCAATGGTGTTATCACCATTGGAGTCCTTAACTATTATAAAATTAATTTTTTTGTTTTTTTGAATAGTTAAGGATTGTAGTTTAAATTGTGTGTCCAATGGTGTTTTCTAATTTGGAGTCCTTAGATTAAAAAATTAATAAATCAATTCATGTAATGTTGAGTATGTTGCATGTTGCATATGTTCATCAAACATCAATCATTCACTGCCTAAGAACATATCAATTCATGTAATGTTGAGTAGAATAAATAAGATTCATGTAATGGCAAAGTAGAGTAACATCGCTATCAGAAGAAACAAGTTCTAATACTCAAGGACAATGAAAAAGATTTTACCATAAGCACTGGCGATGCCTTCCTCTTGCACAATATCAAGAGTCTCCATGTTCCAATGGCATTCTACTTCTTCATGTATCAAACATTAAAAAAAACCTGCAAAATCGCTTTTTAATTTAGCACAAGCATGAAGAACATATGCCACTCCTGTGGCATTCTAAAAGAAACAAAAGAATGTTATATATTGCTCAAATTGCAAAGGATACAAACAAAGGTATGGGTGGACGCTCTCTTTCTAACCTGAAGGTATCACTGTAACTTCAGTAATGAAGCATTAACAAACCAGAAAAAAAAAACTAAAGCCAGAGAATCTTCATATATATTGTCAAAAGCCACGACAGAATATTGCCCAACACATGCCAAAGATTGCAGAGTTGTTGGAATTTTCCGTCCACACAGCAAAGAATCTCTGAGCTTCTGAGTAAAAGGAAAACAAGACAATCAATGGCAAGAAATGAAAATTATCACTAAAAGGTAATTAGGTGAAAGATGTCTCCATAAAATAGGCTTTCTAACATATCAAAGCCATGTTCCCTAAAATCGTTGTCACATGATCACAACAAACTCCACTTAAGCCAAGAGTTAGGCTCCGGAGAACATAAAGCACAATAAAGTTATACGCTAAGAATCTTCAAAAGCTAGCTATAACATTCACATAAATGCCTTCTATCTGAGAAAATGTGAATCAGAAAAAAAAAAACACAACAATGTCTAATCTCTCTTCTTCTCCTCCGATTCACTTAGCTTATCAGACAGTAAGAAATCTACTAAAAGAGTCTGAAGATAATGCAAGAACCTGCTGCTTCCGAGTCTGAATCAGAAGCACGAGAGTTGCAGAAACAAACTCAATCTCTTCTTCAATGGCTCTCACTAGCATTGTCTCCACTGTCCCTTCTCTTCTCCCATTCATTGTAATCTTCAACCTATTAATTCCCGATAAGCTCATTTGTCACTTTACAAAGCTCAGATCTTTAACCACAAAGCCTCTAACTTTCTATCTCGAAACTTCTTCTCCAGCAGAAAAGTCTTCACCTTTATCACAACCCATCATCAACACCCAACAACAAGACAAAGACCCATTCGTCGNGTCCCTTCTCTTCTCCCATTCATTGTAATCTTCAACCTATTAATTCCCGATAAGCTCATTTGTCACTTTACAAAGCTCAGATCTTTAACCACAAAGCCTCTAACTTTCTATCTCGAAACTTCTTCTCCAGCAGAAAAGTCTTCACCTTTATCACAACCCATCATCAACACCCAACAACAAGACAAAGACCCATTCGTCGAATTCAACATCGGCACCGACGTCACATCCCTCCTCCCTCCTCCAACACTCATCAACTTCCTTCAACGTCTATCATCACCACCATAGATCACCACCATCGGAGAGGAGATTTAGTTATTCGGAACTTGATGAAGAAGATCGAGCGATGAGGAGAGAGAGGAGAGGAGATTTAGTTGAGTTTCTCTTTTGATATCGCCAGAGCTCTGTTTTTTTTTTCTGATGAAAAGTTAAACTGATTTTTTTTTTTAACACACGTGAAACCCTTCGAAAGCGGCTGCCACATAGATAAGGATCAGCCTCTTCAAATCCTTCTCTAAGGATTAGTCCTTAGATTTATTAGACAAAATAATAATATTATATTGAATTAACCCTAAGGATTAATGTTAAGGATTCCCCACGTTTCTGCGTTGGAGGTGGTCTTAGACAGACTAGGATTTGTATTCGAAACGTTGTCGTATCAATTAGCTATGCTTAGGCTGCTTGGGTGGAAAGCTACTTTTATTTGGCAATTGTAATTGCCTCTTTTTTCATTGCTTTAAATAGAAAAACACAAGAAGCAAATCTTACAGCAAGATCAACACCAATAAGCAAATAACATAATCAAAATAACAGAAATAATTAAAACAGAACACAAACATCTATGCCATGTATTAATGTTTGAACTCCATCAATGTCATAAAAGGAAGTATAAACAAGTAAAGTCAACTTTCTTCAATTATCATTCCTTGGAAGACGCAAAATATCAACAGGACGGTTGAAGTCAGGCTTCTTGATCTGCATCAAACTCTTCAAGCTCCATGTTAATCTCGTTATATCACTGTTTGTCAAGGCCAGACACCCGGATAAGTCCATGTACTCTAGATCAGAACATCCTTTACAAATCGAGGTTAGACCTTTAACAGCCATTGTACAGTTTTGAAGCTCCAAGTGCTTCAGCCTAGGCATGTGTCTCGCTATTATATGAGCCTCTACGTTACCGTATCTTGGAAATGCTAGTATATAATCAACCGGTGCTACAATTGTATGCACGTTGGGACCTTGCCGAGGAAACAGATTCCGTTTCAAGATCTCTAGGTTCGGGCAATGCCTCCCCAACGTGGATAGAGACTCGTGAGATATACAATAAGAGTAGCTTACATCAAGCTCTCTAAGATTTGGACAGTTTGTTGCTATCTTTGTCATTGATTCATCAGTGACGTTAGGGCAGCTCTTGATCCAAAGCACCTCTAACTTAGGACATCTGAAAATAGAAAGCACACAATAAAGCATAAGAATATGAATCACCATCTAAACGTTATTAAGCAACAAGAACCATGATCCAAACCTCTCAGCAGCGTAAGATAGCGAGCGATCTGTGCAGTGCCTAACACGAATCTCTGTGAGGCCACCTTCGCTCAAGTCAACGACAGATCTGAGGAAGGCATCGACCTTGTCTTCAAACTCGGGAGTCCACCAGTTGATTGACTCAGGGAATGACTGAAACCGAGTTTCCAGATCGAAGATCGTGTTGAGTGACGGTTCATGGCATGTGTTCATCCAAGTCTTGCAGACAAGCATCGGTCCCATCCATCTTTCTTCCTGGCTAAGCCGTGAGAAGATGTCGAGAAGACATTCCCTAGTCATCTCAGCCCAGTTAGGGCTGAGTCGTTCCATCCTGCCACCGTCGTTGACTTCCATTAGATTTAAAGCTTCTTGGTTTAGATTCTTGAACAGACTTTCTTCAGGTCCAGAAAAGCAGTTTAGACTTTTGGGAGTTCCAAAAATAAAATTTAATACCCAAAGAGGAAAGTACGTGCAGCTAACGTCTCTCTTCTTTATTAATTTCCCCTCTAATGATCAATATAGATTAAAATCAATTATATCATTTGACCCACAAAAGAAAATACTATATTATATGTGTCACAAGAAATCTACCTATATTATCAACAATGGATACGAGTTCTTTAACCGGATCGTATATGTGACCATTAACCAGCTGGAACATGCCATTTCAGTTAGTAGTCACTGTTAATTTTATTTGTTGCTTGCCAAGGACGGTTGAGATGGTAGATATAGACTTACAGCCGAAACGGTAATCATGTTCATGCAATCATTTGTAAACTTGGGGTTATGAAGTTTGTGTACATTAAAGACAAAGTTTGTATAAATAATTTGACATGAATTCAAGTGGATAATTATGTTTTAGCCTTCTAAGATTTTTTTTTTAATTTGATGTTATCACTTTTATCAGGTAAAACCGTAAAAGTATATGATATATATAATTAAACTAAATAATGAAAATGCAAATGAGTTTATCTTCTAAAAAAAATCAAAGATCAATGGTAAAAAAGACAACTAGTGCTCTACAAAGAGTTTTTTTTAAAAAAAAAATTGAAAGAGTAAGTTTAATGCAATATAACATTCATCTTACCACCTTTAAGAAAATAAAGAATTAAAACGAAGTAAATACAGGCGGGTGGTAAAAAACAAAAAAGTTTGGATCCGAAAAAGTATGTTTAGGAAGTTTCTTTGTTGAGCACAAGAGATGTTAGCAATGTATAGAGAGATGGAATCGTTTGGTGTTTCTCCAAACGTATACAGCCTTAACGTAGTTCTCAATGGTTTATGTACCTGTGGTGAAACTGAGCTGACTTTAGCTACATTAGGAAAGATGATAAGAATAAGGGTTACTCCTGACATTGTGACACTCAACACTCTGATCAAGTCATATTGTTCCGAGGGAAGAGTTGACGAAGCCAAGAAACTAGCTAAGAATATAAGAAAGTTTGGGATCGAGTCCAATGTAGTAACTTTGAACACTTTTAAGGGAAATCATCAACAAGGATATTACCAGATCTTCTGTAAATATTTTTATTCTGATTCACCTCAGATTAAAAGAAATATGTGTGATTTAGAAAAGATAAAGTTCAATTAGAAGCGTAAGGAGTAACATTATATTTGCTTGGAACAAAAGCTATTAGGGCCACAACTGATGAAAACGAATGACTATGTACTTTCATTTGAGTAATTAATATGAGGAATATTAGATAAATCATCCACAGCCTAATCAACTAGAGGAAATGATTTTCTTGGTGAAAAATTAGTACACCAGGTGTAAGTATGGCTTAGATTGGTTGACGAACAAAAGTTGATTAGATATATGGAAGGAAGAAATATTGACATCAATCAAGTCAGATACATCATTGTAACTGACGGTCTTTACTTCTTCTGAGCTTTGTCCTATACAGTTCTAATGTTTCAGAGTATAACAAACACACTCATCCAATGAGCTAATAAAGTCTTACAAATCAATTCAAGAGATAGAGATAGTTGAAAGAACTAAGGAAGCAATGAAACATCAATAAGCGTGCTTCATCAGCAATTTTAAAGCTGTTAAAAAACGTAAGAGCATCACAATCACAGATTTTTCACCTAAGAGGACTTAATGTTAATATATATGTATAAAGTATACATTTCAATTAATATGTATTAACATAAAGTTGATATAATTTTGTTCTTTGGAAAACCAGTTGTAATCGTAGATATATATGTATGTTAACTCTTTTGTTTTAGAAAGATATATGTTTTTCAAAAAAAATAATTGGTTTCAAGTTTTCTAGACACTTTGATTAGCTAATAATAATTACACAGATTAAAAATATTCATTATATTTATTAAAATATTATTGTCTTAAGTTATTGGAAGCTGGTAAAATTATTAAGATCAAATATTTTTAACATGTGTAAAAACATATAAAAGTTGTTTTTAACAAATTTAAAGTATATAAACTGTGAATAGCGCGGTTAAAAAAAACTAGTTCAATTTATAGAAAATCTATGATTTAATCCACTGTTACTCAAATCAGATATTATTTTGATGAAAAGTTGTGAATATTTTACATCATTTTTTAGTTTTAAAAAGGAGAAGAATCATACACATCTACTTGGTAAAGCAGAGGCACATGAAGAGAGAATGCATTGAGAAACCTACACAAGAGATTCTGTAATTGGATTTAAAGGATATTGTTGTCACAAAAACCAAGAGTTGTCATATGTTTGAAAATATGAAAGTTTATGATTTCAAACTCATCAAATCTTTATATCTACACTTGTGCATATATAGAAACCCTTTAAAGCATATGCGCATATTGGGCTAATCACAATAATCTTATCTGATATTCTTAGTTAAAAATCTCAAACACTTTAAGCCACTGAATCTTGCCATGAAACCTTCCTCTTCATTGTTGCTCTGTTTAACTCTTTCTCCACATCTCTGCATATCGGAAACTTCATCTAGTGATGGCATCATCAGCGTGGAAACAGATGGATTTATCTATGGGCCAATTCTGAACATAGTATAATTACATTGGCATTGAAGTTGATTAGCTATATGGAAGGAAGAAACATCGACCTCAATCAAGTTAAGTACGTCATTGTAATTGACTGTATTTGTAAAGATGGGAAGGTTGAAGAGGCAATTACCCTTTACCATGAGATGCCAACAAAGGAGATCAAAGTCGATATCAAAACATATACATGCTTCATGAGGGGACTTATGCTAGCATGCAAAGAGGAAGAAAGTGCAGAGCTTTGAAGGACGTCATCATCAAGAAACTAGAAAATTCCGGTTGACCTCTTCTTCTACAACACCATAATTGATGGTCTTGTGAAGAACGGAAAACTTAAAGTACAAATTACATTTTCAAAGCAAGCATTAAACATAAAACATAGCAAAACTCAGGTTGAATGTATCGTCTACATTCGTTGTCAAATTATAACCAATCACATAAAACTCACAAAATCAAATGAAAATAAAACTGACCTTTTTGTAACTCCACCAACAAAATAACAAAACGTTGTAATACAAATCTATTTGTGTTCAAATAGTAGAGTCATGCTGTAAAATATGGTTTCTTGATCTCCTTCAAATTCTTCAAGCTCGAGATACCGTTAGTAACACCATCGCTAGTCAAGTACCTACACCCAACCAAGTCCAAATACTCTAGATTCGGACATCCTTTACAAAGAAAGGGAAGAGCTTTATCAGTCACTGTGGAGAATCGAAGTTCCAGGTGCTTCAGCTGACTCATGTAACTTCTAATTGCAAAAACATCAATATTACCGGAAGTTTCGAAACATAGACCATGCACGTATGTGCAATGCATAAACAACCTGGCGATCTCCGAATTTGGCATCAAATTGCGTTTCAGAGTATGAATACTCTTGCAGTTCGTACCCACTATTTCAATACATTGACCAGATATTTCATAAGAGCAGCTTATATCAAGCTCTTTAAGCTTAGTGTAGTTTGAGGCTATCTTCCTCATCGACTCAACTGTAACCTTTGGGCTATAAGTAACCCCAAGTACCTCAAGATTAGGACACCTACATATCAAGATTTAATCAAATTTCTACGATAAGGACCGGATTTGGGATTTTGAGACCATAACAAATTAGTAAGAAAACTAACAAATTAAGCCTATGTTTAACTAATATATATATATAAAATTTTGAGGTCCAAAATCAATAGTATATTTTCTGTGATAGAATCCGACTCTGCCTGCATGAATCGCAACATAACCACTAACCAAGCAAACCGAGACGTGTGTACCTTTGGGCGACGTGAGAGAGAGATTGATCCGTACAATGCCTGACTCGAATCTCCTTGAGACGGCCTTCGCTCTGATCCACAACAGACCTGATGGTTGAGTTAACTTTTCTCTCGAACTCTGGACTCCACCAGTAGATGGAGTCTGGAGAAGACAGAAACTCAGCTTCGAGGTCCAAGATAGTTTTGAGGGACGGATCTTGGCATAGGTTGGTCCACGTTTTGCAGACCAGTGTTGGTCCGCTCCGTCGTTGTCCTATGCTCAGACGTGAGAAGATGTCAAGGAGACATTCCGGAGGCAAATCTGTCCAGTCAGGTTGGAGTCTAGATTCCATCTGATCGAGAATGAAGAAGATTGTGAGATCTTATTGACACCTTACAACAAAAAAGAAGAAGAAAATGTGTTCAGAGAAACAGTCTCATTAAGCAAACGTTAACAACACATCAGATGAGTTTGGTACGTGTAGAAGAACAGTAAATCATATATTATATTCGTTGACTTTAGAGAAGGGAGAGAGAGGGAGAGAGCGTCGTTGTTGCGATGTGGAATAAGATGGACGAATAGTATTTGTTGCGACTTTTCAACTGTCCAGCTATTTGAGGTTAACCAGGTCTAGAAAATGCACTGGATAGGACATTTTGATTTTTGTTTTAAAATATTTTTAAACTAATAATTTTTAAAAGTTCTTTCTAAATTATGTATTTTTGAACCTGAAATTTATGTAGAATCATTGAAATACATGCAATTTCCTATTATTCAATTAATTTTTTATAAGAAAACTAGACCAAAATCCATGGTTGATTATATATAAATACTTTTTTGAAAAAAAGTTGTGGAAAGATTTTAAGAAACTTTACATTCATTTGAGCTAAAAATAGAGACAATAATCTCACACGTAGGGGTGGGCACGGATCGGATATCCGGGGTTTTTAAGGTATTTGTGATTTGCTTCGAATGTTACGGATATCTAATTTTGGTATTTGCTTTGCTTCGAAAAAATACGGATATCCGGAAAAACGGATATCCGAAAAATAAATAGATATTTGCGAATATTTACGGATATCTCATCCACTTTGATTATTACAAATAATCTTAAGATATTGATACAAATTTGCTTTGGAAAAATATTTTTTTGCATGATATATAAAATAAATATTTAAAAAACTATTGAATTTACATATTTTCTAATTTTTAAGTTTAAGTTACAATTATAATAATACGAAATATAAGAAAAAAATATTATTGTCATAAATTTTTGTTTCTCTTTTATGTAATACTTTTATATAAGTAATAATGTGAATAGATTTGTTCAAAATCATGTGCTAGAATAATAATTATACAATTTTATACATTAAAAATTTTAAATATAATCAAGATATACATCTATTTATATATTTTCGGATCGGATCGGATATCCGCTTCCAAAAATTTTAATATTTGTGATTTGCTTCGACTTTAACGGATATTTAATTTTAATATTTGCTTTGCTTCGAACGTTTACGGATATCCGGATTTTTCGGATCGAATCAAAACGAATAACGAATCGAATCAAATATAACGGATAAAATGCCCAGCCCTACTCACACGTCTAAACGTGTTAGTTGGTTATGCAGATACATATGAAGAGAGAATTCGTTGAGCAATCTAACACATGAGATTCTGCAGTCACCATATTGGATTTTAACGGATATACGCTATCACTAAACACAAAAATTGTCATATGTTGGGACATATGGATATTATGATTTCAAACTCATAAAATATGTATATCTACATTCGAGTGATGAGCTTGCTTTTGAGAACTGGGTTAACCTAGCGAAGAGTGACTGATTTTGCGGCTGCTCACTTTTTGATGATGTGACCTAAGATTTCCACACCTCTGTTTGGAGATACAACCATCCTCTGCTTAGACTGCTTTGTGGATATAACGTTTACCAAGAACGTATATGGTAATTGTTTTCCTACGAGTTTAAAATGTGAGCATAGAGGTTAACAATTTTGTTGTTGAAATTTTCTTCCACAGTTGTTGTCATACTAAACCAAATCACAAAAATATCCAACACAGGTTATATAAGGTAGCCAATTGTACGCACAACAAAAGAGGAAGAGTTAATTAAATTCCAAAAAAAATAGCTAGTTGTTAGAATTCTTGTGTCTCAAGTTACCTTTTTGATATTCTGACAGCTTTGTAGTTTATGCTTGTTGTTAATTTTAAAAACAATCACATATTTAATCCAAAAAAAAAACAATCACATAAAATCACAAAAAGGATTACAAGAAACTGACATTTTTGTAACTCAACCATCAACATAACAAAAAGATATCAATACAAATGTGCATGCGTTCAATTAGTAGAGTCACGCTCAAAATCTGGCTTCTTGATCTCTTTCAAATTCTTCAACTTCAAGATACTGTTAGTAATACCATCACTAGTCAAGTACCTACAACCGAACAAGTCCAAATACTCTAGATTCGAGCACACTTTACATAACCTTTCAAGAGCTCTATCAGTCAATGTGGAGAATCGAAGTTCCAAGTGTTTCAACTGACTCATGTATTTTATAATTGTATTAGCATCAACATTTCCTAATGTTTCGAAACTTGTAGTGTCCACGTATGTGCAATGCCTCAACCTCACGATCTCCGGAGGCGGCATCAAATTGCGTTTTAGAATATGGAGATTCTTGCAATTCTTACTCACAATTTCCATACACAGGCAAGATATTTCATAAGAGCAGCTTATATCAAGCTCTTTAATCTTAGTGCAGTTTGAGGCTATCTTCCTCATTGACTCAACCGTAACCCTTGGGCTATACTTAACCCCAAATACCTCAAGATTAGGGCACCTGAAAATCAAGATTTAATCAAACCTCTTGTGATCTTTTTTGTTTTGAAACACAATCAAACCTCTTGTGATCACACATCTGATGTTTAAATGGAAAGACTAATATATCAGTGACTTGGATCAATCTATTTATCGTTATCAACTGAAACAATAATACCGAATTTAACATGAAACCAAGCAAAGAGAGACATAGGTACCTTTCGGCTACGTAGGAGATAGATTGATCTGTACAATGCCTGACTCGAATCTCTATGAGACCACCTTGGCTCTTGTCGACAACAGACCGGATGGTTGAGTCAACTTTTTTTTCGAATTCATGACTCCACCAATACTTTGAATCTTCGGAAGACAGAAACTCAGTTTCGAGGTCCAAGATAGTGTTGAGATGCGGTTCTTGGCATAGGTTTGCCCATGTTTTGGAGACCAGCATCGGTCCTTTCCGTCGTTGCCCAATGCTCAGACGTGAGAAGATGTCGAGGAGACATTCAGGAGGCAACTCGGTCCAGTCAGGGTGGAGTCTAGATCCCATCTGATCGACAACAAAGAAGATTGGTAGATCCTAGTGATTGAATATGTTTGCGATGAATATCTTACAATGAAGAACTGATCAACTGATATTGATATGTGTAGTAAAGCGTAGGATTATATGTATTCAGAATACTTGTTTCTTAGTTTACCTTTTATATTAAGAAAGCAACTCCGCGTTTCCGTGGTCGCTGACTTCCTCTAGGGAGAGGTAGCTTCGTGGTTTAGTGTTTGTTTAGACTTTATAAACTCCAGCTATTTGAATTTTGAGCTTAGCAATTTCGACGTCATTTAAAACACAAAATGATTAAAGGACAATATGAACTGGATTGGAAATTTTATTCAGCTAATAATTTTGAAAAACATTTTAAAGTATGTATTACCAAACTTGAAATTTATATAAAATCATTAGCGATCTCCTATAAAGTCAACTTATAAATTTACAAAAACATGTATCAAAAGTCATTGTTAATTCACATCTAAACGTGTTATTTGTAGAGAATTCAGAGTAAAAATTATTTTTCAGTAGAATCTAACGCGGTTGCTTCTCTATAATCAATTGCTTCTCTCTATAAACAATAGTTTTCCTTCTCAAACGAAATTAGCAAAGAATAACGAAATGTATGGTTCTTTCATATTTCAGTCCTTGCATGGTGGAGTAGCTCTCCTAAGAATCATCGTTAGTCAAGCCATAATCTCCCAATCGAATGACCGCTTAAAAATTAGCGGGGTCTATAATCAGTCAAAATTTCAACAATTTCTTTGTGTCTCGTTATAAAAAGCTGGTCTAAGCGGCTCACAGACAAATGGACCAGAACACAAGAAATAAATCACGTAGGAGTTTAAGTATGCTCTCCGTCTCCGTGTGTCCTCATCATTACTGGTCTCTTTGCTCGTGGTACCGATGTCCGACAAGACTTTCTGGTTATCAACTCCGATGTGCAAAATAAAAGGTGGCTATCAAGTAAAACATATCAAATCATTTTTTTTCTTTTATCCAAAAACATATCAAATCATTTACTAAAATATTATACTATTTCATCTAAAACTATAATATTAAGATTTACTTTTTAATCAAGAAATTGAAACAAAACATTATAAACTTACAAGGAATCTAAAAAAATTAATAAAATAATTTCGACAGCAAATAAATTGCATTTGAAATGACTAGTTTTTATTTTGTCAAAGAAATGACAAGTCACTATTTTAATTAGATACATAAATTGCAGGCAGGTTTATTATGGCATGTGAAGAGAATGTGTAAAAGAACATTCAACAAATAAAATGAGTTTTCGTAATCACCAAATTGGATGTTGGGACACATGAAAATTATGATTTCAAACTAATCAAATCTTCATATAACTACACTTGTGCATGTATAAAAACCCTTCAAAGCATATGTGCATATTGGGCTAAATCACAATATCTCAGAATCCTAGTTGATATTCTTACTTGAAAACCCTATCAAACACTTAAAGCCACTGGATCTTGCCATGAAACCTTCCTCTTCACTGCTGCTCTGTTTAACTCTTTCTCCACATCTCTGCATATCGGCAACTTCATCTCGCAATGTACATCATCGTTTCCATTACCAAGCATTGCCTTCTTTGTTGCTTGAGCGATCACTTGTCCACCACTCGCTTCCGGTTCCTCTTCTTCTCTCTACAATCAAACATCCAAAACACAAACAAAATCAAGCTCTAATCAGTTTCTCAAATCTCAAGAAAAGGAAGAACCTAAAAAATCACAACCACAAGTTGTTCTGGCTTTACCGAGATCTGGTTTAGGTCAAAGCCCGGGACTTTAAAAGTGCTCCCATCTCCGTTAAGATCAGGAAGTGGAATGGAGTTAGTCAGAACCTCGTTTCCTCTGCTCCTTTTCGGATTCTTTTTATCCAATGACAATGCTTCCTTCTCATCCATAGTAGAGTTCTTCTTTCTTTTACTTGGCACCTTCGAGTATCCAGATTCTGACAATCTCAACATCCCTGGAGAAGATGTGTCAAGAGTTTGGTCTTGCTTCAACTGTTTGTATCTACGTTTCAAGAACCTATACACCGTTTTGATCAAAACAAATTCAGTAAGTTAAATCAATGCAAGTACTATAACAAGCCAATTAAACGTTGGAATGTGCTTTGAATATGTAAAATTAAAAAGATGAGAGATTCAATATATACCTAACTTCTGCGTCAAGGGTTGATCGTCTCTGTTTCATCATCTCCAACTTCCTCATCTTAAACTCTCTTTCCTGAGAATGTAAAACAAGAAAACAAACAAAAAAGTTCAAAGCTTTATCTTATATCTTCTCCATCAGAATCAACCCAACAATCCCAAATCACCAGATCCAAAGGAAATCGAGGAAAAAACAAAAAAAAAACCACAATTTAAAAACCCTAATTACCTTACGCAACTCGTGATAATCCTGCATAAGAGATTGATGCTTGAACATGATCCTGGGATCAACGGAATCAGTAATCTCCTTCATCGGATCTGATCAGAGGAATCGCAGACACAAAAGAAGAAGAAGAAAAAAGTAGGGAGAGGAAAAGAGAAGGAAGAGAATGGGGGTAAAAGGAGGATTAGGTTTAATGGTGGGAGGAGTCTTATTCCCTTGTATGAAACAACTCTCTTCTCTTGACCAATGACTTATGAACCCACAAAGAAGAAGCCACCACATCATTACAATTTTTTTCTAGATTGTTATTGTAATTAAATTTTTTGGATTTTCCTTTTTCTTTTCTTTTTTTCGGTTGAGAGTAGGAGTCTTATGAGACCAGACCAGACAAGCAAACAGAAAACTAGGAGTAGTCATCAAGATGGTAAAGAGAAAGAAAGATGGAAATAAATCAAAAAAACTTTTTCTTTCTTTTTTTACTTTTATGTTTTTCTTCTGTGTTGTGTCTTTTTGGAAATTTGCAGAAGGGGGGCATTGAAATTGCTGACTAATTAAACAGGAGGAAAGGTTCTTTCTTTATTTTATGATTATAGGCTTTGTGTCTTTGTGAGGTGGGTTTAATGGTTGGTGGAGATTTGAATTATAAAAGCACATATGGATATGGGTCATTGAAGAAGAGATAAAGTCATGAAATTTTTGTAGAGATGGGGTATAGAGAGAGACATCAAAAAATTAAAGGATTGGGAAAATAGGAAAAGAAACAGGAGAAGAAAACTATGGAGGAGGAAACTGAGAAGAGAGATGACTGCTCTTGGTGTGTATGTGTATGTATATATGAATGTGGACCCATTTTGAGAGACTTACCATTATAACCTTCTACTAATTATTATTTTTTTGTAAAAAATTTATTAATAAAAATTGTTTGAGAAACAAATGTTTGTTGACCAATAAAATAAAAGAGAGAAAATGTTTATGAGATAGAGTCCAGAAGGTTGACACATAAGCAAAGATCAAATGCCACGTTGTAACCAATTTGTTATGTCGGCCTAGTATAAAAAAATAAGCATCAACTAAAGCCCATTAAGCTCATTATCCTAAAATAGCAACAGCTTCCACGACTAAAATTCATCAAGTCTGGTTTATCGATTGAGTATGAGCCAAAAAGACCAAGAGCTTCTTGGTTTACCTAATTTTAGGTGACGTTGGTAGCTAAAGGCTTCTTTTACAAAGAAACAAAAGCACACATCAAATGTTGCCGCGTTTGTGTCGTGTGTCGTTTACTGGCAGTCAATGAGAACATCGACACCGTCCGTGACCATGAGTGTCACCAGCTTCCACGAAGCAAAGTGCGGTTCCACTTTTATTTTGTTTTATATGTTTTCTCTTGGTCAAGTATGTTTTTTTTTTAATATGTTTTGTTTTGTTTATTCATTCTCTTATTTTCTCTCATGTATGAAACTGGGGCTACAAACTTACAATATCCATTTATTTATTCTGTGATAAGCTAAATTCAGATTTAACATTTTTTCCTTACTAAATATTCAAATTCCAACCTTAGAGTATGATTAATGAAAGTGTCTCTAAATATAAAACCAAAATATATTATATTAAATTAGTGAATATTCTAAAAACCTGAAAATCCACAATAAATCTATTAAAAATTTCTCAAATAAGAGATTTTAGTGTGAATTTTCTCAATTTTGTGAAATAATTTCGATAAATTTAAATAAATCCTAATTAGGAGTTATACTGTCCTTTGACCAACCAAAAAAAGAAAAGGTCTCAAGAGCCCTGAAAAAAAAAGAATTAATGTTAACCCTATATAACAGCAAATCAATTAAAGGATCATAATTTTCACTTTTATTTTTTTTTTGTCTCCGTCATCTAATCTCTCGCGCGCCTGTAAAGTTATTATTTCTTCTTATTCGTTTTGGGTAATTGCACCAAGAAACAACATAATCAAAAGGTTCGTATCCTCCTCCTCTCTCTCTCTCTAATTACGATTCAATATATTCCTCCCGCGAGATCTTCTAACTTGTGTTGTCAATTTCGAATCAAATCACGAGATCTGTCTTCTACTTGATCTCCTCTCGGATTCAGTAACGATTCTTCGTAGATCTTTAGGCTTTGTTCCTGATCCGTGAATTTGATTGCTTCATTGACTAGATCCGATCTGATTCTCAATTTATTCAATTGATTCAGTTCTAATGCTCATCTCCATGATCTGATTTTGAATTACACATCATATGGTTTTTTTCTAGGGCACGGAATTGAAGATCCACGATGTTAGAACAGCTATTGATCTTCACACGTGGCGGATTAATCCTCTGGACATGCAAGGAGCTCGGAAACGCGCTCAAAGGCTCACCAATCGACACTCTGATCCGCTCCTGTCTCCTTGAAGAAAGATCCGGCGAAGTCTCCTTCAACTACGAAGCCTACACTCTCAAATGGACCTTCCACAACGACCTTGGTCTCGTCTTCGTCGCTGTTTACCAGCGGATTCTCCATTTGCTTTACGTGGATGACTTGCTGAATATGGTGAAGGAAAGCTTCTCTGAAGTTTATGATCCCAAGAGGATGAGTTACGATGATTTTGAGGAGACGTTTAGGCAGCTTAGGAAGGAGGCTGAGGCCAGGGGGGAGGAGTTGAGGAAGAGTAAGCAAGTTGGGAAGGGTTTGGGGAGTGTTAAGAAGCAAGGGCAGGTGGCAAAATCTGGTCTTGATGGAGGGAGTAAACAGAGTAATGGAGAAAGTGGTGGTGGGTCGAAGAAGGATGATGGAGATGGGGATAAGGGTAAAGTCGGTAGCTTGATGATGATGATGACTAATGGTAATCATGCCAATGACTCTGACAAGACTGATGATTTTGTTAATGGGAAAGAAAACACGACTGATAATGTTGTAGTTGATCCAAGTAAGCTTTTGAAGCTGAGGAGTAAAGGTGTAAGAGGTAGAGGTGGTGTAAGGAAAATTGACAGTATAGGTAATAAAAGTTCCAAGGTTACTGCTGTGGAACCGCCGAAGAAGGCGACTAAGAAGAATAGGGTTTGGGATGATGCGGCTCCTAAACAAGTGAAGTTGGACTTTACTGATTCCGTTGGTGAAAATGGGAACGGGAACGAGGAGCATGTGGATATTGTGGCTGCTGACCAAGGAGAAAGTATGATGGATAAGGAAGAGGTTTTTAGCAGTGATGGTGAAAGTGAAGGTGATGATGATGATGATGACGAAGCAAGAAGTGATGAGAAGCCTGAGGCTAAGAAGAAGGGATGGTTTTCTTCGGTTTTCCAGAGGTTAGCTTTTCTCTTGTTGAATTTGTTGCTACCTTACTTATCTGTTTTATCAGTTGGTATTAAACGTATATTGTAATCTTTGTTCAGTATTACTGGGAAGGCGAATCTTGAAAGGACAGACCTTGAACCAGCCTTGAAAGCTCTGAAGGAGCGGCTCATGACTAAGAATGTGGTATGTGCCTGTACAGTGCAGCATTTTTCATGTTTGGGTTTAGTTATGGCTTTTACTTGAGCGTGGGATTTTTCATTCACAGGCTGAAGAGATAGCTGAGAAGCTGTGTGAATCAGTCGAAGCAAGTCTTGAAGGAAAGAAGTTGGCATCGTTTACGAGGATCTCCTCAACTGTTCAGGTATTGTGATTTGTCCTTGTAGCTCTAATTGAATCCAGAAAACATTTCACTGTGCATGGCTCAAGATTGCTTAATTGTGGTGTGAAACATATATGACTTCAGGGAGCCATGGAGGAGGCTCTGATTCGCATATTGACTCCGAGACGCTCCATTGATATAATGAGAGACGTTCATGCTGCCAAAGAACAGAGGAGACCTTATGTGGTCGTGTTCGTTGGGGTCAACGGAGTTGGGAAATCCACCAATCTGGCCAAAGTGGCGTATTGGCTTCAGCAGCATAAGGTCAGTGTAATGATGGCTGCCTGTGACACATTCCGTTCTGGAGCTGTTGAGCAGTTAAGGACTCATGCTCGTAGGTTACAGGTAATGAAATAATCAAGTAATAATCGTTGATTAGTGGTGTAGATACTGAGTTAACAAGTATTGATGTGAAATACTGATTTTGATTTTGGCAAAACAGATACCGATATTTGAGAAGGGTTATGAAAAGGATCCAGCAGTAGTGGCTAAGGAAGCCATACAGGAAGCAACACGAAATGGATCCGATGTTGTTCTTGTTGACACAGCTGGTCGGATGCAGGATAATGAGCCTTTGATGAGGGCTCTCTCAAAGCTCATTAACCTCAATAAACCAGACTTGGTCTTGTTTGTTGGTGAAGCTCTTGTTGGAAACGATGCAGTTGATCAGCTCTCAAAGTTTAATCAGGTTCGGTTTCTTGCCCACCAAAGATTCTTGTTAGATATTTGATAAAACCTTATTTAACGGTTATTTTCTGTTTCTAAACTCCAGAAACTTTCGGATCTCTCCAATACTGGGACCACAAGATTGATTGATGGAATCTTACTGACAAAGTTCGATACCATTGACGATAAGGTACAGACAGAGACAGTGAAACGTTGATATAAAGATATACGTTGGCTTGAATCTTATAGTATGAAAATTGTAAACTGAGTGTTTGGAACGGGGTTTGTAGGTTGGAGCAGCATTATCGATGGTTTACATATCGGGAGCACCGGTTATGTTCGTGGGTTGTGGCCAGTCTTACACTGACCTGAAGAAGCTCAATGTCAAAGCCATTGTCAAGACACTTCTCAAATGATCTTCTCATCACCATCATAATCATCACTATCTTCATCACTACTATCATCAATCAATGTCTTATCCATCATACTTTTATCTTAAGTTCTTGTTTTTGGTTTTTTGATATGAAGACAGATTTCTGTGTGGCTGTGATGTTGTTTCCTTAAAACTCGAAAAGACTATTTCGTTGGAGTCGCTACTATCCTATCCCATCTCTTTATATAATACTTTTGTTTTGAAATAATTCCTCTTTCCATTTTTTTTTCTTGTTATTTTCATTCACCATGATAATGTTGTAACCAGTTAAGATATGTTGTAACCAGTTAAGATAAGTAACCAAGGCCGCGTGACTAGCTGTCTCTTTGAATTAGTAGACAGGCCTAGGCCATTAGGTTAAGATCAATACATAAAGATTTGGATTCTATCATCTAGCGAACCTGGTGTGGTTGCCTCTTAACAACTAGAGACGAGTTGAATAAAGTTGTATCTATCTTGATTATATCCATAAGTCAAACTAATTCACTCTATCAATCAAAGTCAATGCCTGAATTAATTCATTCTATCAAACAGGATAATTCTATGTTAATAGTTTGACACTCATTCAAATCTATAGAGATTAGTACAACTAATTTAAGTTAACAGGATAATGAGATAATATTCATACTTTCTTTCCATCTTTCATAAAAATGGATAACTATGATAAACATTGAAAAGGATAACGAGATAATTTTCATACTTCCTTTCCATCTTTGTTTTCGTATTATTTGTTACCTCGTATTCACCGTTTCCTATCTTCTAACAAGCTTCCCCTATTCAGAAAATTATAGATTGTTGGTGTGAGTAGTAATTACATAGCTAGACATATATTACAATTTAGCACTTTTCAGACAATGGATCATTCTTTGGTTAACTTCATTTAGATTATTTAAACTATTTTTCTTTTAAATATAATCAATAAACATATATTTTTTTCAATAAACATATTAAGTAACGCTACATTTAGTATAAACAACTCATAGCAATCTATTAAATCTTTCAAACCAAAGATTTTCTCTTTTTATGAAAATATATTCTTGAACATTTATTGTAAGAAAAAAAGTTAGCAAAAAACGGACATTTACTTAGAAAATCAGAGAAAGATTACACTTTAATGTTTATTATGACCATAATTTTTTTTTTGGATCAAAATTATGACCATAATTTAAACCCAACAAGGAAAAACACGGGGTCGATCCAAACCACAATGGCTATATAAACAGCATTCACAACCTACGTTTCTCTTCACCATTAGAGACAACTCCAAAAAAACAAAAGAAAATATAAACCAAAGAGTTGTTTGTAGTAAAGAAGAACACAAAAGAAAATGGGAATCATAGTTCCAATTTTGACACTTATTTTCCTCTTACTCACCAGAGTGAGCCATGCTGAGTCCAAACCGAGGGTGATTCTGGTCGGTGGATCTGCCGGTTCGTGGAAGGTTCCAGATCATGACAAGAACACTCTTAATCACTGGGCTGAGAAGAATCGTTTCAAAGTCGGCGACATCCTTGGTACTCTATATTACCTTCTACATCTCTTCATTTTTTTCAAATTAATAGGCCTTGCTTATGTTTCTTCTAATTTTTCATTTTTTTTGCTAAAATTTGGAAATGAATTTTAAATTTGCAGTTCCATTCCATGGTCTTCCATTTCTGTAGTCATTAGTTTTTAACGATTTGTTTTGCACTTTTGCTAATGATTCTTCCTTCTATTCAAAAAAATTGTTTTGTTTCTGATGTTCTAGACAATATTATCGTCCAAATTGATATATTATATGGTTTTATAATGATGTATTCATGCATGTGGATTACAAATCGGAAGTATGTTTTCGTGCAATCATAAAATAAAAATGAAAATTAATTATATGGTTGTATAACGATGATGTATTTATGAATGTGGATTAGAGTGGAAGTACGACGGGAAAAGTGATTCGGTGTTACAAGTGACAGAAGAAGACTATAACGGTTGCAAGACAACAAAGCCCTTAAAGAAATTCAATGATGGAGACACAAAGATCAAGCTAAAGGACTCAGGAGCTCACTTCTTCATTAGTGGTGCTTCTGATCACTGCGTTAGAGGCGAAAAGATTACTCTTCGTGTTATGCCTGAAGGCAAAACTCATGGTGGTATCCGTGGCAGTCCTAAGGTTTCTCCGTCAGCTCCAGCCCCAGCCCCTAGTGCTGCGGTTGGATTGAAGGTTGGAAGCGGGTTGTTCTTGACCGCCGTTGCGATTGGTTTGGCTATGGTTTAATGGGACTGATAGAAAGAATGTTGCATTTGTCATTTTTCAGTTGTTAGCAAAACTTTCTTTTTTTCCAGATTGTTAAATGTTTATTTTGTTCCCTTATAATAAATACATTCAACCTCTATTTTCTGTTGATTTAATTTACCTTTTCAAAAGTCTCAACTATGAAGGGAGACTGAAAACGCAAAAATGAAATTTGGTAACTCCAATACATGGACAACTTTATAATTCTAATAATTGTTTTTGTTAATAAATATCATATTTTTGGTTTAGACCCCTCATTCGAAGAAACAATAAATTGTAATTTTACAAGTCAAATAATAATTATAATTACTTTTTAATAAAATTCGTTTTTGTTAATATTTTATTATATATATTTTTAATTATGAGATAAATAAACACATGTAACAATCTTAAATATATAAGTGTCATGCATGGCGATCTTGTTAATTAGTAATTTTGAATAACTAAACTTTATATAATAAGATTAGTTTCTTTTATGGGTACAATACAACACATAAATATTACATTATGAGATTAATAGGAGTTTTTGTTTTCTCGACAAGGATGAGAATCATAGGTTATGATTATATATCGAATAAGAATACAGCAAGATAATAAATCTAAATGCTCCAATATAATAAGAGACAAGTAGATTATTTGGGAGTGAAACTAATTAGCTGGAACTCTGCCTTTGAGGAAATTCTTGCAAATAGTCTCCAAATATTTCCTGTCTGCTCCCCTATTCTCCATCGAGGCCTTTGCCGCATCCGCAAAATCTTGCTGCAAAACCAATTCATGGTTTATCGTAAAAATACTATATTTTATAAACAAAAAAAGTATATAAATATTGTTAAACCTTTTTCTATAATGATCATAACTTTATAAAAGCAAGGCAACAGTATCCACATGATGTAAATAATGTAATATTGGTTCAACTAACATCTACAATGAGGTGTACTAAACTCAAGTCACTAAACCAAAACTTGAAGTTCTCATTTTGTACTTTTTTTTCTACATTATAGTTTCTGTAAATGGGGATAATAGGAATAAAGCTAACCTTGATGAAGCCAAGACGAAGAACACGATCAACGATCTCGTGGAGAATCTCTCTGTTATACTCGGGATGTCCTTGAATACAGAATAAATGATCCTCAATGGAGAACATCTCCACCTCATACTTCTCGGAATAAGCTAGTAGTTTGGCACTTTCAGGCAACACTAACACTTCATCCTGGTGTAGTTTTAGAATAGCTATTGTATCAGGAATCTCGTTACCAAAGAAACTTCCCGGTTTAATCGCATCTTTCACGAGGGTTATGTCTGCAAGCTTAAGTTCTGGTCCCTTCCTTGCTCTTCCCACTGTTCCTCCTCTTACTCTGGCTATGATCTAAAGTAATTAAAATTTTCCATATATCAGTGAGATCTTTTAGTCTTAATCCAAAACATTAGTATTACTTAATGGTAAGTGTTAGGGTCAATAATATCGCTAATATGATAATATTGCAGTATATCATATGGTCTAGTCTAGGGTTTGGTAATTAAGACCAATTGTAAAGTAAGATTGGTAAGAAGAGAAACCTGGTGACCAAAGCAGATGCCAAGAATTTTCTTCTTCATCTCATCAAGTTTCTTGACGATCTCACATAGCCTAAGGATCCAAGGATCATTCTCGAATGAATCATGAGAGCTTCCGCTAATAACAAAACCATCGTACTTGTCAAGATCTTTCTCGTCCGGAAACTCGCCCTCTACGACTCTAAACGAGTCCCAATGCTCTCCTTCGTCTCCGAACGTGGACACGAACACGTTGTGGTATCCTCCATACTCTTTCTTCACGAACTCTGAATCAGGAGTCGCTAGAAACAGTGCAAACTTTTTCTGCTCAACCATTTTTTACCGGCTAAAGAATATAGAAAGACTGTAGTTGATTAGAAGAGAGAGAGATATAATAAAAAGAGAGGTGCAATGGAAAAGAAACACGTATGAATGTGTATATTTATATGAGATTTGATTTGGGCGACCCACCTACTTGGTTTTGTATTTTCCACGTTTTGAAATAGTATTGTAATGGAGACATTGGACAGCTAGCAAACCATTATTGACCGTTTGTGTCCATACGTTATTCACATTATTCGGGAGGAGATACAATTTTAATAATACTACATTGATTGTAATTGGCCCAAAAAGATTATTTCATTATCTCCCCTGCCTAAAGTTGTTAACAACGTGCATCTGATCTTTTATGTTTCAGTCATTCTATCGTATCTTATTCTCATACTAACAACTTTAGCTTACTTTAAAAGGTGTTACAACAAAATTATTTTTATTTCTTTGGTAAAACAACAAATTATTTTAGAAGCTCCAGACTGTTCTTTGAAAGATCTAGAGAAGTTACTTCTGTGTTGGCCAAAATAATTACCTGAGAATTAGCTTTTAATAATAGGAAAATTAAAGTCATCAAGAATTAACAAATCTAAACTAGGACTGGGCAAAAAAACCGAACCCGAAAATCCGAACCCAACCCGGCCCGATAAAAAGGAATCCGAACCGATCCGAACCCGACATAAGTACCGAATGGATCTTGTTTTACGGTATTTCGGGTTATGGGTATTACCCGAACCGAACCCGAACTTAAATGGACATCCGAAAGAACCCGAAACTTTAAAATTCCAAAACAAACTTGTATCATATCCAATCAAAATTTCTAATATGTTTTCCAAAACAGATTAATATATTATTGAGTACCTACAATAACTAGTTAGGATATAAATAATTAACTCAAATATTAAGTCTAATATATAGTATTATTTAGTTAATATTTATGTTTATGATTGACATTACATTTGAAGTTAAGTTACAAATAAATTTGTTTTGAAGTTTATATAATGTTGTTTTTTTTTTAAGTTTAAATAGTACTTCTTACGTTTATAGAATTGTTAGTTGTTAAATTTAATTTTTTTATGTTTCATTATGTATAATATTTCGTTCATACAAGGTTTTGGTTTGTCATTAATCATGATATGTTTAGTATTGTCACATATAGTTCAATGACAAATCTTATATGGTTGATAGACGAGTTTCACAATATTATTTCGAAGGAGAACAATATGGTTTGTAGAAGCTAAATACACAAATTTAATAAAATGATTGAAAATATAATGAATTTAATTGAGTATAAATTAGTATTTTTAGAACCGATAACCCGATTAGTATCCGAAACCGAAATTATTTCGGATTCAACTGGATCTTGGACATGTTACTAAACCCGAACCGAACCCGACTAAACCCAAACCGAATCCGATCCGAAATTTTATAATATCCGAATGGGGTTGAAATTCATGAAACCGAAAATCCGATTGGGACCCCGATTGCCCAGCCACAATCTAAACTATGTTGTAAAAAATTTAACGTCTCTAGACAGTCAAATAAGAATTATTATAGTTGAATGTGTATATTTATAGTGTGGCTTGTAATTATATTATATGTACCTGGAACTGGAATGTTAGTTTTTCCTACTTTTTAAAAAAATTTCATCTTTATTTCTTGCATGCTTATGACCAAGAATTTTAAGTATCATAGTTGGGGGAAATTTATAAAACCGCACTTCATGTTTTCTTCATGATCAACCGGTCTTATTTTTTATTCTCCGAAGTGGAAATATTACACAAACAAAAAACACACACATATACCCTTTTTTAACACCAAAACAGACATATATTCATATTTAAGGTTCGTTAGAAAATAAAAAATAAAACATTACGGCACGTTTGACATTTTACCTGCCGTCCCAAGAAGGGTTCTCTCAGTAGTCATTTTCTAAATCTCATTTCGGCTACTTTTAGTTATTAAATTCATCGGTCCAAATATTGCGTCATATAAGAATCAATCACTAAGGCCAAACAATAAGAAAATCTACAGAGATGAAATCCGAATATAGTCCCTAAACGCGTCCAGTTGCGTACATATGTACTACTGTAAGAAATTAGTTAGAATCATGTCTACCGCTATTGTTGGGTTTGATTATTGATTTTTCGCATGTTGTGATTCAAAGCTTCTAGTTACGAGGTTTAGGAAAATCTCAAACTATGTGAATTTATTATTAAACTATAGTTATGATTACGTTAATCGGATATCACACAGTAAAAATAAATGATTCAAACAACTATTAGGGGTGCTTTCTAATCACAAAGTTGAATAAAATAGAAAATCCAAGCTTAGTACGTTGTTATTCAATTCCTTGTAAATTATGCATTTAAATAGTAGGAGTGATTTTGTCACAAAAAAATAATAGTAGGAGTGATGTTGTGGATTGGTGAGCTTCTAAATGGGCCTCATTTACTGTTGAAAAATATGGGTCATGAAATTTTGAAGAGTATTATTGGAGTTGCTCAATACTTCAACTTCGCCAACAGATAAAACTGTTTTATACCTAGAGATGGCAATTGGGCTCTCCCGTCCCGTCCCGTCCCAGACTGCTGCGGGTTCGTCATTTTGCGGGTCAGAGCGGGCCTGTCCCGCGCGGGATGCGGTTTTGAATATACCGGCCCAGTCCCGTACCGCCAGTTCTTTCAAGCCTTTGCGGGCTGGCCCGCGGGACATCAGATGTTACACGCAAATGGTCCATCTGCTTCTCCCTACAAGCCAAACATAAACAAAAAGTCTATATTAACATCTCATTCAAACTCTGAACCATAGAGTTTAATATTTTCTCTCATCCATTAGCTATATACAGATTTTTTTCATGCTCTTAATTTGTTACTCTTAAGTACAATTAGGGAAAGTATGTTAGTACTTTCCAAGCTAAGCATGAAATGGGCTTTCTACCACAGAGATGTAAGAATCTTTCAGAAATATGAGTTTAGAGAAACCTTCTTAAAATTCCTTGGATGCATGGCAGGTACTGTGTTCCTTCCGGACAGAGGGGAATGAGCAGACCCTGATCCTGAAGTATCAGGTAAGAAATGGGCAAACTCCGCAAGCAGATCTTCATGGTCCTGAAATAACAGAGTAACCTGCACAACAGATGAAAATCATAAGAGACAAAAGTGATAGGCACAAAAGGTAAAGCAAATAAAAGAATTTGCTCATTAACTTAGCACATACCTCTTGATATACATCAGAGATAGACTTGCTTTGCTTTCTATACATGTTCAAAATGTCAAGAAACTTTTTATATGCACGGTCATCACTCCCAAATCTCGCCTGCAGTAATAATATCAACTGTTTAGACACATGATTAAATTGGTATATAATATTTACAACATTAGATACATACCTTAATCTTGTTAACAAATTCGATAGCTTCTCCAAAATCCATTGTCTTCTTTTTAGGAAGGGTTATCTTGTACCCTTTTGGCAAGAAGGTATTAAACCCAAAAGCAAGTCATCATAGCCCTTGAACAACTCTCTTACTCTTGCTATGNAAGGTATTAAACCCAAAAGCAAGTCATCATAGCCCTTGAACAACTCTCTTACTCTTGCTATGACACCATTAGTGTCAACTCTACAAAACCAACATAAAGACAACCAAGAAACTAAGCTCATTCGACAAAAGATACCAAAAAAAGAATGGAAGAGACAAGAAGGGTATTTAATACCTCTGAGCTTTAAAGTCCTTCATGACTTCAAGAAAAGTGTCATACTTGTCTTTCTTGTCTTGAAACATATCTTTCACAGCTTTGAGATAGCTCAAGCCTCAAGGCATCACCTGTTGTTAGCCCTCCCATCGTTAAAGGCTTACTATTTCTGCATCATCACAAACATATAAAAGTTTAATTCGAATCTTGTACCCAAAAAAAAACAGAATTTGAATTAAAAAAAGGACAAATAAAGTAACTTAGGATTCAGACCAGACAAAGGAGCTTACGTTTCTCCTCGAGACGAAACAGTATGTCCTCCTCGTATATGAGGTTCAACGTAAACCTCATCTCTAACCCTCTTCATCTCTTCTGAATTAACGCAAAAACAAAGATTCACTGTAACCTGAAACCAATCAGAGTTGGAGAAGAAACCTTGATGATGGAACAAAACAAACAATGAATCAAACACATAACAAAAAAAATACAAGAGTTAAAGCAAAGATTTTAAGTCCAAATAGATTTCAAATTTTTGTCTGAAACAAATAACCTTTGTACATGCATGTACGATGATCGGACTCCCATCAGTGAAGTTTAGAAGCTCATGAATCATGAGGAAGAATAGAAGCCACATCGAAGAAGAAGAATCGATTTTGACGGTGCCTTCTCGCCTTCTCGGTTTAGCTCCTCTGCTACAACTGGAAGACGAAGCAGTGACCAGAAGCACCGTCGGACATCGAACGGCCATCGTCGGAGTCATCTCGGTTAGCTCCTCTTCTCACGGTTGGAAATCTCATCGTCATGTCTTTCACTCTCTCACTTTTTTTTCCAGGAGATTAAGCAAATGAAGAATGAAGATTCTAGATGCGGGCTCTACAGTGACCCGCGGATGACTGTGGGCCTTCCCGCAAAAAGCCCGGATCCGTACAAGCCCACTCCCGCAAGGCCCGCTATTTTGCGGGCTGTTGATATCCCGGCCCATACCCGCCCCGCAACAAACCCTAACGGGCCTGGCCCGCGGTCCAATCCCTCCATTGACATCCCTATTTATACCTTTGTTGTTTTCAACTTAAAGGCCAGGTCATATTTGTGACAAAAAAAAAACAGGTCATATTTTATTGTTGCCATGCAAATCCTTTTTTTTTTCTTTGATACAAATCTATATAAAAGGGGTTTTGAGAGGTAACACAGTGTTACAATGGACAGAGGGAAGCCGACGTTTCCTTAGACATTCTGTCTCATTGGTAACTCCTTTTCTTGTTTTTTCCCTTTCCTCTGTCATCTCACCTCACAAGTCACAAGTCATTTTACATCTCTGTCTCTGCTCTTTCAGCTTTACTCTTACCATTTTCCTACACGTGTAACTTTTTCTTACCGTTGGATTTTTCTCCACTGCAACATAAGCAACACATACCACAAATTTTAAGTTCCGGTTCGGTTCAACTATAACATAGATATGTTTTTTTGTATATCATGTATTGGATATGTATGAATTATGGGTATTTGTGAAAGTGTATAGTGTTTGGTGGTGGACCTGGTGGCAGTCTCGATAAAATATAGCTTCGACTAGGGAGCACATGTTTTTGGTCAGACCATCCCTAAAAGTTTATACTATATCAATCATATAAGTATCCATATATCGGTTTTGCTAATTAATCCCCTACCTAAAACATGTTGACAAAAGAACTCTTAATACACCAGTTCCATTCCAGGTTGGAAAACAAATAAAATTTATAGAATGTCTGATTAGGCATGTAACATATTACCATTAATATCATTCCTTTTCCATGTATATTGTATACCTTTTGATAATGATGTTTTGAATAGTAATGCATTATGCATGTGTGTTTATTGCAGTTGAACTTCAAACGATACAATCGCGTGAAACACATTTAATCACATCACAAAATTTTGTCACTAATAGAGTAATATCACATTTATTGTCTCGTACATGTGAAATGCACTTGGACACATTTTGATCGGATAGAGCCATACGTCATCATATACTGAACTTGTAATTCCTTTTAGAATTAATTTCTAAAGGTAACTACCAAAGTTTTTAAACTTAATGAATTGTTTTATGACAGTTGTATATAGTGCCCATACAAAGAACTTTAGAGATAGGGAGAGAGACATATCAGGTAAGGTTTGCAAGGAGGCTTCTCTCAGACGAAACGAATAAAGAACAAAAAAAAACAAAGATGAGAAAAAAACCCACAAAAGGTGAAAAAAAAGCAAGCAAGAAGAGGCAATAATGTATTTTATCTCATCTTCAGATTCACATACCATTCTTCTTCTTCTTCTTCTCCTCCTCCTTCACCCAAATCCATTCCACACTTGTTCGAGTTCTTAATGTTTTATCTGATATTTTGTTCCTATCTTGATTTTTTTTAGTAGAAAAAATCAAACAATGGAGAATAGACTAAGTATTACTGCAACAATGGTGGGCTTTCAATACTGTTCCATGTCGTTAGTGCTGAAGAAAAATGAGCCTCGATACTCTTCCATGTCGTTGATCAGATTCATTTCGTCGATATGTATTTAGTCTGTTCCTTTTATTGAAAAAGGATTAGTGTAGTGGTATTGGCAGAAAGGCTCAATCTCCTTGTCACACATTATCACGTTATACACTCTTCTGTTCCTCTCTTAATTTTATTTTAATTTGATGTAGAATTTTCATACATCATTATCAAGCAGATAACTTGTTTTGCTTCGTGGCGAAAGCAAATTTATGAGCTAAAACTAGCTTTTTCATATTATGCAGGAACTTGGCTCTAAGAGCAGGTTATCATTTAAATTTCAACCCATTGCATACATATTAGCTATATTTCTTTTTCTTTTTTTTTTTGTAAAAGAATTAGCTTATAGCTCTTCTGCTCTCTCGATTGTCATCTTCGAAGGATTTAGTTTGTGGATAAATAAACTGGTGATGATATTGCTTTTCTATGTGTTATATTGCTGATGATATTGCATGTAGTATGTCTGTATATTTCTTATTTATTTGATTCGATGTGTATTGTTGACGCAATCAGAGAAAAAATGAATTGGTTCAAACAATAAAAGCGAAAGGGAGTAAGTGTGTGTACACATTAATCTCAGATCCCGTGAATGATGTGTATCCTCTATTAATTTGGACTAGCAAACCTTTGGCACACGATTCTAGTCATCAACACTTGTCATAAAAATATAGGTTTGTCTTATATTTTCTGTGTTCACATGTTTTGGGTTTTGCAGGGTATTTGAGACCCGATAGGCCATCCCACAAAGCCCAATATGAAGTGAATCCAAACTAAGCTTCTTGTTTTCCGTTTTGTTCAATAAATTCAACTAAATACACTGTTATAAAACGTATTTAAGCACTTGTAAACGGTACTAAAACACTCGGTCTGCTCCATCTTCTCTATTAAAAGAGAAGTACCATTTACATCTACTACAAAAAAGTCATGTTGGACCATTTCATTAATATGATATATTTGATTATTTATACTAATCAATCAAATATATATAATTGGAGGAATATTTTAATAATTAATAAGATATTGGTTATAAATTTGTTGAGAAAATATCTAACAAGATCTTACTAAGAAGTTTAAATATTTTTATAAAATATGCATTATTTAATTTCATGATTAATATATATAAATATCTATATTACTGTTAATTAAAATAAAAATTGTTATATTTTATAATTTAATTATATTCTATATTATATTAAAATAAAATGCTATGTGAAATGAATATAAAATATATTAAATTGGTAAAAGGAAAATATTTTGTTTTAAAAATTTTCTTTTATTCAAATAAATAAATAAATATCACTCCCTTTTAAAACATATTAAAGTATTTAAATCATAGAACATTTTCTTACAAAAAAAGTTAACATATATTTTTGTAACTCACAACAAATACATTATATAATAAATTATATATAAATATTTTTTTTATTTTAAAACTTACAACAATATATTATATAAAAGTAATTAAAATTATACAATTATACAATATATAACAATAGAATATAAATCATATATATTTGAAAAGTTTTGTTATATTTTTATAAAATGAAAAAATACCCGCACGGATGTGCGGGTTCAAAATCTAGTTACTTATAAACTACATGTACTCTTAACTTATTTATATGTATTATTACAATGCTACGTTGATCATATACAAAGTATGATCAAGAAATAGTAAAGAAGTACAAAATTTAGAGAACGTGGAAGAATCATGATTAATGTCGACCATATGAGGAATGGGAAATCGCAGAAGAATATACGCATTCCGACGAAGATTTGCTGCCCTTTTCGCACATGTTTTGCTTGTTCGGTTGCTTTTGGAATCTTTATGCGCAAAGCCAATATAATTTTTAGGTCTAGTTGAATTTATCGGGCCGATGGATACAAATGTATATTTAGAAGGGGAAAAGTAAAGATTTGTTTTAGATAATACCATCTTTTTGATATTGCAAGTTATAATAGAAGGTAAAAGCAGCACTTTCCCTCTAATTTCGCTAAGCATTAAAATGGCTTCAAGATCCATTAACTAAAACATGTGATTGATGACCCAGACTCCGTTGCTAGGAAGGATAGTAGGCTGCACAATTAATCAACACTAATGTGCTACACACAACTAGTCGCTAAGCATAGTCCCTAACACAAAAATAAAAAGTAACAATATTTAAAAAGGGACTTTAATGGAATAAAGCATACATAATTGGTGCAAGTGAGAATATATGGTCCCGTGGATAAAAAGATGAAACAAACATTACTGAAGGAAATAGAGATGATGAACATATATCCAATATTTTTATGTGGTGCAAATTATTGGGAAGAGATTCTACTTTATATAATCACATCATGAAAATTAAGAAGTTCCCCTTTTTCGTATGTGTTTGCATTATTCGTATAATAATATTTGATCTTCAGCCAGATTTGTCCCATCATGCAGTTTCTCTCCACTTTGGTGAAAGAGCAATTATGAGTCTTAAGAATCCAATTCTAATGTTACATTATTCGTCAAAGATTCAGAGAATATTTCTCTCGTAAAAATATGGATTTTAATTTCTCAAGCGTAGGGATAAATGTGTGAAACAAGTGTAAAGATGAGATGCATGTAATATGAAACAAGTACAAAGATGCATGCATGCCTGACGTAAGGATCATTGATAATATGCATGTGTTGAGAAAATAAGGTGATTGGTTGCAAAGCATCTCGCTGCTTACCTCATCTTGCTCAGCCTAATTCGGCATCTTGCCAACTTCCATCTCGTGCTTTTCCTTTTCTATTTTGTTCTTTTAGTAATTGATTCTATAAACCAATATCAAAATTGATATTTTTCATGATTTTAGTCATCAAGCGGATAACATTTTTTGACAATTCGATGTTGTAATCCACTAGGTCAATGCATTATTTGCCATTTCGGTGAATAGAGGATTGTTAGATCTTAAGAGGATATATAATATTAGTTCAATCTCGATGTTATCGGTTTCAACTTTGAATTTAGTGTTATGCTTAGACAAAAATGATTATTAAGTTATAAAGAGAATATAAAACCATCTCTTCGATCAAATAGCTGAATACATTATTATTACACGATCACAACATCTCCAATCCTAGTAGTTTTGGAGCTTAAGTTCGTACGTTTTATCAATCTAGATCAATCAATGAAATCTTATGAACGATGTGAACATATACAATATTTTTAATTAACTTATTATTCGAATATGATGAGACTTTTTTTTTTAAATATATACTAACCAGATAGATTAACATATAAGTACGAAAATTTAAGGTAGGCAATGAATGATTGATTATTTATTAGTCCATATGTACATCTTAACAAAAACTTGATTATTTTGTAGCATTTTACACGAAAGCTTTATTAAAAACATACATTCGTAACGTGGGGGTCATGAATGTTCTTGCAGTCAAGTAAAGACTTGATTGATCGAAAGGTGAAAAAGACAGAATAAGAAAAAGAAAAGTAATAAAATAAGAAAAATAAAGATAAAGCTGTAATTATTAGAGGATGGCTTTGGATTAGATTAAATTAAATTAATACTAAAGGAGGACGAGAGGTGCGCGAAAATAATTTCAAAGAAAACAGAGTGACAAAAAAGAAGGAAATAATCAAAAGTATAGGGATCTATTTATTATACACAATTAACGTTAACATAACAGAACGACTCTCTCCCTATTTCAAGGCTCATCTTGACTTTAGTTTCTCGTCTCTCTTGGTACCACCACTCACTATCTCATGTTGTTGCGTTTTGACATTTTTCAATAGAATAGTCTCTGTATAAATATGCGAATCATTAACTACATCAGTTACCATTAAATTTCTGTAGGTAGGGAGCATATCAAATTCTCAAAATTGGTAAAAAAAGTAAAGAAATGGACAAAAGAAAAGAGTGTAGAGTAGACCAGCATCCACCATCCCGGGCCCGACAACTCGTATAATCCACTTCCCCTGATTCTCTCTCTCTTGCCATCATTTAAACGGCTCTTGTTTGTTTGTTTAGCCTTCTTCTCCTGTGTGAGAGAGACTGTTCGTGGAGAAGAAGGAACAAAGAAAAGACTCTTCTTTTGACTGATAGACCCGACATTTTCTTTCTTTTATTACAAAATAACATAATATAAAGCAGGTTTTTTTTTTTTACTTTTGCTTTCTCTTCTTTTTCTATGTGTGTTTGTGGTCACAACTAATGTTGTCTCTGCCTTCTCTTCAGAGTTTTTTTGTTTTACTTCTCTTTAGCTAAACTTCTCAATGGTGTTAACTACACAGACGAAGATGTTGAATCAACTTCATCTTCTCTACTTGTTCTTGCTGTTTCTCTGTTTCTGTCCTCTCACTCTCTCTTCCGAGCCAAGAAACCCTGAAGGTAGTAACATTACAACAGCAAAATATAAAGAGTTTCTTTAATTGTTCTTTTGGTTTTAAAGTTAGAATTTTTTTTTTGTTAAATGGTAACAGTGGAAGCGTTAATAAATATAAAAAACGGTTTGCATGATCCTCATGGAGCTTTGAACAACTGGGACGAGTTTTCAGTTGATCCTTGTAGCTGGGCTATGATCACTTGCTCTTCCGACAACCTCGTCATTGGCCTGTGAGTTTCATTTGTTCTGTTTTCTATGTAGTTCATTAATGTCTAAAACTCTTTCTCTCTTTAACTGTTTAGAGTAGCTCCAAGCCAATCTCTCTCTGGAACTCTCTCTGAGTCCATCGGAAACCTCACAAATCTCCGACAAGTGTAAGATTAAGACCACCTCGGATCCTTCATTGTTCTGTCTTTTTAAAAAAATTCTAAAATATTATTTTTTTGTCTCTTTTTGTTTGTATCTCTTAAACCTCTGTTTCCTACTTGTGAAAGGTCATTGCAAAGTAACAACATCTCCGGCAAAATTCCACCGGAGTTCGGTTTACTTCCACGGTTACAAACTTTGGATCTCTCCAACAACAGATTCTCCGGTGAAATACCAGTTTCCATCGAGCATCTAAGCAGTCTTGAATACCTGTGAGTTTCTTCTCTTGAGTCTTGTTCACTGATGTAATGATTTGATCAGTTTATAACATAATGTTATTAAATGTATTGGTTTTTCCAAATAGGAGACTGAACAACAACTCATTGTATGGGCCCTTCCCTGCCTCTCTGTCTCAAATTCCTCATCTCTCCTTCTTGTGAGTATATAAACATTTGTCTTTTTTATTTACTTATTGACTATTTATCTTTGGCTTTGTCTGAATTGTTTTGTTTTGAATTTTAGGGACTTGTCTTACAACAATCTCAGTGGTCCTATTCCTAAATTCCCAGCCAAGACTTTTAAGTAATTAAATTCTAAAATGTCAAATAATTTTCACACAGGTTTTATATTAAATCAAAGAATAATTCTTGTTGTTGAATTGTAGTGTTGTTGGGAATCCATTGATTTGTAGAAGCAGCCCACCTGAGATTTGTTCTGGAACTATCAGTTCAAGTCCTCTCTCTGTTTCTTTGAGCTCCTCATCTAGTAAAACTCTCGTACCTTCTTGCATTGTTTTTTTATTCCCTCTCAATCCTTTTATTCACCATATTCTTGTTGCTTGAGTGTGTGTAGGACACAGGTCTAATAAACTAGCAATAGCAATCGGTGTAAGCCTTGGCTTACTTGCTTTAATAACCGTTGCTCTCGGCTCCTTCTGTTGGTACCGTAAGAAACAAACAAAGCTACTGATCCTTAACCTAAACGGTAACGTTGATCTGACCTTTATGCCTTTTTAACACTGTTCTGTCTCATGTAGATGTTTAATTTTTTTTGTCTTATTAGACAAACAAGAGGAAGGGCTACAAGGACTTGGGAATCTAAGAAGCTTCACGTTCAGAGAGCTTCATGCGTCTACAGATGGTTTCAGTTCCAAGAACATTCTTGGCGCTGGAGGATTCGGTAAAGTTTACAGAGGAAAGCTAGGAGACGGGACTATGATTGCAGTGAAACGTTTGAACGATGTTAATGGAGCTTCAGGGGATTCACAGTTTCGTACCGAGCTAGAGATGATCAGCTTAGCTGTTCACAGGAATCTACTTCGGTTAATTGGTTACTGCAAAACTTCTAGTGAAAGGCTTCTTGTTTACCCTTACATGCCCAATGGCAGCGTCGCCTTGAAGCTTAAATGTTAGTATAAGTCTCTGTCCAAATCTCATTTTCCAATAACTACTTTTAATGATTCTTTTTTTTGTTCATTGTTGTAGCTAAACCGGCATTGGACTGGAACTTGAGGAAGAGGATTGCGATTGGAGCAGCAAGAGGTTTGTTGTATCTTCACGAGCAATGTGATCCCAAGATCATTCATAGAGATGTCAAAGCGGCTAATATACTTTTAGACGAGTGCTTTGAAGCTGTTGTTGGTGACTTTGGGCTTGCGAAGCTTCTTAACCACGAGGATTCTCATGTCACGACCGCGGTTCGTGGCACTGTTGGCCACATTGCGCCTGAATATCTCTCCACTGGTCAGTCTTCTGAGAAGACCGATGTGTTTGGGTTTGGTATACTCTTGCTTGAGCTCATTACCGGATTGAGAGCTCTTGAGTTTGGTAAAACCGCTAGCCAGAAAGGAGCTATGCTTGAATGGGTAAGCAGTGAGACTCATATTCACACTTTCTTTATTACTTTGAATAGTATCAAACAGAATCAAGATTTGGTTTAGGTGAGGAAATTGCATGAAGAAATGAAAGTAGAGGAGCTGGTGGACCGAGAACTAGGGACAAACTATGATAAGATTGAAGTGGGAGAGATGCTGCAAGTGGCGTTGCTATGCACACAATATCTTCCAGCTCATCGTCCTAAAATGTCTGAAGTGGTTTTGATGCTGGAAGGAGATGGTTTAGCAGAGAGATGGGCTGCTTCTCATAACCATTCACATTTCTACCATGCCAATATCTCTTTCAAGACAATCTCATCTTTGTCTACTACTTCTGTGTCAAGACTAAATGAAGCACATTGCAATGATCCAACTTACCAAATGTTTGGGTCTTCGGCTTTCGATGATGATGATGACCAACAGCCTTTAGATTTGCTAGCCATGGAACTATCCGGTCCAAGATAACACAGAAAAAGAAAGATATCATTTTTCTATCAAACTATCCAATTAAGAAGCTCTACACTTATTAGAATATAGAGACATGTATGATAAAAATTTCTATACAGTTTAAGATTTTGTGGAGATGTATGAATATATTTTGTTTTAACGGTAATGATGACAAATGAAGAAACTATATGAGACTGATGTGTTTGACCAGAATCTGTTTTGCTATCTCTTTCAAATGTATCATTACTCATTTGAAGGATGAGAAGTTTGTTGTTGTTGTTACCCCCAAGCTGCTCGTTGTCCTCTAATAACATCTCCAATCGTAAACTTCATTTTAATAACAAAGATTTTCCCAAGTTATGTTGCTAAAGACGATGTTAACACATTCATCGTGTTCTTGTCCTGACGACTTGCCCTCTAGAAGCTTTTCTCTCCATTTTCTCCCTCTTCTTGCGAGTTTTCTCATCCTCCACACCTCCCTAAAAGGTTCAGTCACGGAGTCAAAATACAGTCAAATCTTATTAATAACGCTCAAGCTCTCCCCCCTTGATCAAAAGCCCTTCGAGAGTACCAGAAAAGTGATTACCTCTGAACCTTGTGACATGAATCCTCTAATAAGTCCAGAAGCTTTGTATGCTCCAAATGCAGGAATCTATAAATTGCAAAGAAAAAAAAAAAACTATCGGTATCATTGCTTTCCAACAGATTTTAGCCAAAATATTAAGAAGAGAGCGTACCACTAGATATGCGTACCAAAACTTTCCAGAGATGATAGATGCTAGCTGCACGAAGCAAGTGATGTAGAGTACATCGTGCAAATATCTGCAAAGACAGAGAGATCAGATCATTTAGGCTTGTGATATAGAAGAAGACTCCACTATCAATCCTATCCACCAGTAAGATGATCATTACGTAGCAATTTTCTATCAAAACAGTGTAACATCTAAACATTACATATCAAACAGCTGGCATTGAGACAATGTTCGTACCCACAAATACCACCAGTGCTCATGTCAAACCCACCATCAATAAGCTCGCCATCATCACCAACACTAGGCTTCGCCATCCCATCGAGAAACTTATAAGGAACGGCGTAACCAAGAGACGTTACCACAAGACCAATCCAATGTTTCCACGTAAAGCTCGAATAGAAAATCACCATCCTCACTATCACGTACACAACCTTATGAAGCAGACCACCACATAATGCAACAAGAAAAAAAAAAATCCTCGAAGTTATCGAATTGAAAATTCAAGTTTTTAATTATATAAAAATGCAACGGCTTTATGCACGAGAATGAGAGAAAGAGAGGAAGTTACGTTGCAAGCGATGATGATACGACGGAGCTTAGCCATGTGTCGAGCGTTCTCATCTTTCCTCTTCTTAGCTCCTTGATTCGCCATTAAGAGTCTCTGTTTCTAGCTTCCCGAATGTTTCGATCACCGGCCAGGTAAAATCGATCGAAGAAGACGACAGACTGTCGTTAGCTCCGACGAATAAAGAAAACATATAATGGGCCTAGGCCCAATATGTTATTTGAGCTCATCTTTGATCAAATTTTAATGTTCAGTCACATTGGGTTTGGTCAGAAAGAGACATAATCTGTAAAACACATACAAGATTCGTTTCCACATCTTATCAGTACCAATGCATCAAGAACATAACACATTACAGCACTAGTAACCAGATTGTTGCTAAATATTAAGTGGTTCACAGCAAAAATTAAGACCACAACGGTATAGTGACTAGTTTTGGAAAGAAAGAGAGTAGGAGCCATTGTTGGATCTTTGACAGCCTTGACGTTGTCCACGCTCATCCCAAACGGCCCAAAATTGAGGTGTTTCTGAGATTTTAAGAAGATTTTGAAGATGTGAATATGTTTCATATTCCTCGGATAAGAATGATAGGGAAAATGGTGACTTGTTATCCGATTTGGTTAAAGGGTTTTTATTGGGTCTGTTTTAGGCAATCTCGAACTCAGTCTTGGCCTATCTAATATTTTACTTTTGGTTGAACCATCTTCAACGCCAAACCAGAATTATGTATTATATATGTATGGTTTCGATTTGACGCTAATTCCACGTGAATTTTTACATAAAGAGGTTAAGATGGAGGTCGAGAAGAAAAAAGAAAATAAGATGATAGACGTGTAATGATTGTTTTTGCACGAAGAAAAACTTGTGGATGTAAATTAAAGATGACATGTGCAAGTGCAACGTTGCAAGGAAAACACTTCGGTGCATGCTCCACTAACAACCTATGTAAGTGGACCTCTCATAAGTCGGTCATGCCTCCAGGCTCCAATTCTAACAAATATTTTAAATTTTGTTTTGGAGATAACGTGCTTATCAAGGTTGTCACCACTAGTATGTTTTAATCATTAACATAACACATTCACAATCTATGATCCATAGCAATTGAAATTATTAACTTATATACCATAGTTGGTGTGTGGACACAACTTTGACTTGTAGGATTTTCACTACCATATTAATAAGCTCTGGAACGCCTATAAATACCTTCAACATCTTGTATCATATTCATCAAGAGCACTACCAAAATACTCTAGATAAAAAACCATTAGCAGATACAAAACAATAGATAAAACTATGTCGAGTAACTCATCATCACTGGTCCTAATCACTTTGATATTGGCCACGTCGTGCCTAGTCTCCGAGAGCCGAATTGCAAGAAAAGACTTGGGTCTGGACCTTGGTGGGATCGGGATAGGTATCGGTACTGGCATCGGCATAGGTCTCGGTGGAGGTGGTTCCGGATCCGGAGCTGGTGCCGGGTCAGGATCCGGAGGAGGAGGAGGGTCAAGCTCGTCTTCCTCTTCTAGCTCCAGCAGTTCTTCGAGCTCTGGTGGTGGTGGAGGTGATGCGGGGTCCGAGGCTGGATCATACGCTGGGTCACGTGCCGGCTCTGGTTCAGGTGGAAGTTCCGGTTCAGGCCGTGGAAGAGGAGGTGGTGGTGGAGGGGGTCATGGTGGCGGTGGTGGAGGAGGAGGGGGTCAGGGTGGAGGAGGTGGCTCCGGTAACGGAGGAGGGTCCGGTGAAGGCGGTGGATATGGAGGAGGATACGGTGAAGGTGGCGACTGAATGAAGAATATCGCATGCATGCAATATCTTATCCATGCTATGTGTTTTACGTAATTATTACAAGTATGAATAAATAAAATGTTAGAAATTTTAATTTTCTAAAATGGGTGATTAGATGACATGGGAAACGCTTCTGAAGCGTTTGGTTGGTTACTTTTGTACTATAAGCTGTAATTTTTCAAGTTGATAGTTGAGGAAATAATTGCATGCACTTTCTTTTTGTTCTTCTCCGTTTTTTTTTTTGGCTAAAATTTGGTGCAGTTCTTTTTGTTCTTCTCCGTTTTTGCACGTATCAATCATCATATATAACACAACATTTGGTTATAATTTTGAAATAGCAAACACGATGAAATGTAAAGTTTTACATTCATTTTTAGAAAGAAATTTCGAATGACTATATCATTAATTAATGATTCGTGTTACTTTTTGAGAATTCGAACGATTTGCATTCATTTTTTTCTTTTGAGAGAACAACATATATATATACACGTCAATTATATCACAAGTTATATCAAAAGAAACCAGTCCGCACCATACCTAATTTAGATACGTAACCAAAGGAACATTATGCATCTTTATAAATTGGCTTCATGCTCAAACCTAAGATTTACAAGTGGTTTAACATTAATGTAATTACCACTGAGGAAATGTTTTTATAGATTTTATTTTGTTTTCGTATTGGTATTTTGTTTAGATATAGTTTATGAATAAATTACAATTTTGAACTAATCTAAGATCCAAAGAATTAAACACTTGTCTTGATACGAAAAAGTAAGAATAAGCATATAGTTTTTAAAGAATTTTAGCATAAAAAGATCGTTAACGTAATTAGAATCACAATATACTTAGAAATCGTTGAATTCTTTAATTGCAATGATTATTAGTTTTACCTTCACAATTCAGCTTAGATAGTCCGACGTCATTCAAAATTTTAAGAAAATAGCGTTTTTGTAGTATTGTTATCGTAGTGAGAACTATGCTCACAAAGGGATTTAACATATTAACTTCAGTGCTTACATCTTGTTTTATAGACTAAACACTGATTCAAAATCAAAGAAAGAACATTTTATGCTAAAAAATAATTAAGGTGATACCTTGATTGACAAAAAAGGGGATTCATAATAAAAACATAACTAATGTGAACGATCTTTCTCGAACAATGATTTAAGCACGTGCATTAGGTTCAATTATACTTTATATGTGGGGACTTTAGATTAGTGAATACATGAGTTGTTAGTTTTATGCGTGTATAAACCACTACCCCTCCACTCAACTTAGTGGACCGTCGACTCTGGTGGGTTGGCAGCAGCAAAACGATAATGCACAGATCACATGCATACCCGTACTTAAATAATTGTGCACTAGTTAACCATTTCTCTTAAATTTAACGTTTCGTTAGAACTAAATTTTGGTGATAATAATCTCGTTATGCATTTTCGATGATCAAAATATATACTTGTGGAATATATTGACTTACTGAGAGTTCTAATGTTACCACAATCTTTTTTCTTTGAACGTTATATACCTCTCACCAGTGAAAACCCATACGAATTAACTTGGGTTAAGTTCGTTTCTTTTTATATAATTTCAAATCATTTTGCATGTATCCGATCAAAAATTATATTTAGTTAGACTATCATTTGATTAGTTACTTTAAAAACATGTGTTTAATTGGTACTCATGACTCTTTAATTGTATATATGATCGTAAGCTATGAATACAAAAAGATAAAATCGTGGAAATAAATTTGGTGATAAACACGTAATGGCGCACTCGATCCCAAAGCTTCTATAAATACCCGAACATGTTATTCGCGCTAGTATCAAACTAAGTGATACTACAAGTCTACAAACTCAATACACATAGATTGGCAAGTCTAAAGACTTTTTTTTAAAAGGTTCTTACTCACGAAGAATTCCAAAATGTCTAGGGTCCAAGGTCTAGTTCTTCTTGGTTTATTAGTGATTTCAAGTTTGGTTATGTTAACCGAGAGCCGAGTCGCAAGAAAAGACTTGGGGCTTGACCTAGGTGGGATTGGGGTCGGTCTGGGCGTTGGATTGGGGATTGGTATTGGCGGCGGGTCAGGCTCTGGCGCTGGTGCTGGTGCAGGATCAGGATCAGGTTCATCATCTAGCTCTAGCTCGTCATCAAGTTCGAGTTCTAGTGGTTCGGGTCGATCAGGAGCCGGATCATCTGCAGGTTCATTTGCTGGATCTAGAGCTGGATCAGGATCTGGTAACTAAATATTAAGGACGATTTAATTCCTACTTAGTCTGAACCAAAACGTGTGTGCTATGCTGTTGGTTTGTCGTGTGTGTGTGTGTACGAAGTTGGATTAATAAAATGTCCCCATAAGTTGTCTTGTTTGAGTCTGTATGTTTCGATACAAGTCTAAATTGTGATATAATCTCTTTTAATTTGGATCAGAGCATATGCAGTCGTAATTAGGTAATTCGAATTTTGAACCAAGAAAGAAAACATGCTTCTAACGATATCAATAAATCAAATCATATGATCACAAATTATAGTCAGTTTACTTCAAATGGTTAAACTCTTAAATTTCAAAGAACAAAAAAATTAGTGTTCCGTCACTTAAGAAAGAGTTTCGTATTTTTGTTAATCCAATTCTCTAAAGCAAATATTACTGTATATTTAATCGAGTTAGTCCACCTACCTAATGATAGTATATAATATGAACTTTATTTTTTCCATGATTTTGTTTGTAATTACTAATTAGACAGTATTACTAAACAAAGTTTATGTTTTCCTTGTGATCCCAAGTAAATATACATGAGTGTCTGGATATGCATAGTTTTGGAGCTCAATATAGATTTTCGACTAAATACAAAAGACATATAGATAGTAGAATCATAACTATAGAATACGATCCTAAGCGAAATGCATACATTTTGTCTTTTTTTAATCTATTTTTTCATATATCCATTTCTATTTGTGTGGATAACGGGAATCGATAATAAAAGATTATAACTTTTTTTGACAAACAATATTTTTTTGACTTCCGAACATAACGATCAAAATTTTGATATTAAGTCGTAACAGTAATTAAATTCATTTATTTCTGTACACTGTATGTATCAAAACAATCGACACAGAACTCATACGAAACGTTGTAATATTGGCGTCTCCAGGTACATCTTTTTTTTTTTTTTTTGGTAAACTCCAGGTACATCTTGTTCTAGAAAACCTAAGAGCATCATTATCCCTGTTGCTTATGGGTGTTGCTTAGTTTAATTGTGATTAAATAAAAATGAAAATCCCCTATATATTAATTGAGAAACATTTGAAAAGATGTAACCTCAAGTTTGTATTAATTAAAAAGTAACCTTGCTTAGTTGTCAATCAATTAGCATATCAATTTAACTGACGTGGCGGCTTTAGGTTCAATTGAAATTTACTAGAGAAAAATAATTAGAGACGCATATAACGCATGTAACATAGTTTATATATTTATATATATCGCACGCATGTAATGGAAGAAAAGGAAAATATACGATTTGATAACGATTTGCATATATTAACTATAATAACTTCATTCCTTTTAATTTATGGAAGTGTATATGTAAAATGGAAATTAAAGTCAAATAATCATAACGTAATTTATAAATCATTGGTGTAAAGTTTTGTTACACAAATATGCAAATAATCATAAAATCATATGAGTAGAAACCTCATTTAATAAATATCCATATTAAAAGTGTGCTATATTACTATGTTTATATCATTTAAATTTAATTATATATCATATACAATATATAAGATTGATTATTTTGATTTAT